TGAGGACAATGACCTGTTTGTTTACCTTTTTCCGAGGTCAATGAACCCTTTGTTTACATTTTATGAGTTCAATGACCCTTTGTTTACATTTAGCCAAGTCTACAACCTATTTTTTAATTTAGCCAAGACAACAACCTTTGTTTACATTTCGGTTCAGTGACCCTTTTGTTTACATTTTACGCGGTCAATGACTCCTTTGTTTACATTATGAGGACAATGACCTGTTTGTTTACATTTTTCCGAGGTCAATGAACCCTTTGTTTACATTTTATGGGTTCAATGACCCTTTGTTTACATTTAGCCAAGTCCACAACCTATTTTTAAATTTAGCCAAGACAACAACCTTTGTTTACATTTTAAGGGGTCAGTCAGTTTTGTTTACGTTTGAGCTCAATGACCTTTTTGTTTACATATTGCCGAGATTAAAGGGGTAATCTTTGTTTACATTTTATGAGGTCAATGATCGCTTTTAATTTTTTTTAAAATATTTTTTTAAAATAATTTTATTATTATTTATAACCTGAGCAGGGTATATACTAGAACATTTTCACACTTAATTTTAGCATGGTAATTTTCCATATTGACCTCTGGCTCATAAACATATAAATAAATGCATACACACATGCATAGCAAACGAATGTGAATCTTAAAAATGTCAAAAGCAGCCGAACCTGTATGTCCATAACGAATTTTCAAAACTTTTAGCAACCTCGGTTAGTGAGGACAAAACACAGATTCACTCACCAACCAACAACACAGAACCGCAGAACCGCAGCCTGCATTAAGGTGACTACGAAAGCGGTCAGTGGTGGGCAGGTGAACATAGAAGCGGGTAACGGTGGTCCTTTGCCTGTGGCTGTTTTTACTTTGTCGAAAATTATGATGTCTTTACGCAGACAATGTTGCGTTTACTTGGCCTGAGCTAATTTTGTGTGTGCAAACGTCATTAAATTTAAAGCACATATTTTTCGATTGAGGCTATGAAGATAGTGAGTATGAATATTTGAATAACCTATTTTTGCCGGCCACTGAAGTAAGAGTGCAAAGTATCTCTACCAAAGATCTGGATCTCAGTACGAAAAACAACAAAAAGGTTTTAAACATTTAATACTTTTACGACTCTCCATTTTTGGCAATTTGTAGCACCAAGGCTCACATCAGAAGTTCTCGTAGGTCTTACCATTGCTTAGCGAAGTATTTGGTAATATTTATATATGCTCACGTGAATTTACGTGAAATATTCAGGTTGAGAGGCCGTGGCGACGGCTGCCCTTCTGAAAAATCAATTAACTTCAAGTTTCACAGTCGAAATGAGGTTTTACTTTATATTTTATATAATATATAACGTCATAACGACAACCGAAATTCGGGGTCATACAAATATCTTAGTGCTGATCGCTTTTTTAACCCTTTTCTCTGGCAAATAATCAGTACATGAGGCATTTTTCTTTGATGTATTAAATGTATTCCTCTTAATCGCCACAAATTATGAGCTGGTGCAACTTTTTTTAATTCTTTTGATTTAATTTCTTAATTTTTATGTATTTTTCGTGGTGTTTCCAAAAGTTTCTTGACGCCGGTTGCTTGGCGCTACACAAAGTGCTGCCAGCTTTTGTTCTCATTGCGCAAACAATTTTGGTGAGCAGAGAGTCGAAGTTTTTTTTGTGTTTTCCATTGTTATGTTTTGCTTTTCAAGATTTCTGTTTTGGAAACTTTGCTGCTGCTTTTGAATTTTAAGGTGTTTATTGGCAGAGAATGTATACTTTTTTTTGGAAATATAAGAGTCTACTCAAGTATTTTGCAGCTTTTAAAATAGTTCTTATGTTCACTTCCCGCCTTAAAGTTGGTTTGTGTTCCATTCAATTTACCACAGTGGGGCAAATAACAAATGAAAGCAAAATGTATGGCTTAATGTTGTTTGCGAGCTCAAGGAGCATTCATTTGTTACTTCTTTAAACTTAAAAATTTTACTACTTTTTACAACTAATTGGATTTTCAAAATGCAAATTGCTTAAAATATCGGAATTTTTCAAACAGCAGTGCTCTACATGCTCGTATGTATCGTATGTGGGTGCCTAAGTCTGTGCATATATATCAATAAGGAGCAAAAGCAAAAATTAACTCCCATAAAAATGAAATAAATGTAAGAATGTAATCGAAACGAAGAAAATACAAACAAAGCACAAAACAAAAGACCTTATTCCGCTAACATGTGCGCTCGTAAAAATATAAATTTATGATGCTATTGCATAATACATAATTTCCAGTTATAACTGGGCGGGCGAAGAGGTGAAAGGGCGCAAGCTGACGATTGGGTTGAGAGAATGCCGGAGTGTAACGTAGTGCTGTTTCCTGCACAAACACACACGTATACATAGGTACACATGTATATTAAAATATATACCGGTACACTCTTAAGCTTATGCATATGTACATATGTACGTATGCGTCAGTGTGTGTGTGTGTATTGTTATAACCGCGCGTGTGCGAATATTATTTATACCATGCACTAACAGCAGTCGAAAAATTACTTTTGAGCATTCTCGCAATAAAATCAAAATTTACTACCGTACACAAAATGAAATGTGCTACATGCGAACAACAGCAAAAGCAATATTCACAATAAGCAAATACAAAGCCAGCATATATTGCAACATAAGTAAGTATACATACATATGTATGTATATGTACGTATTTGGATGATGGTGAGTATGTATGCCTATGTTAATAATAAGTAGCGTGTATACACATAAAAATTACTTAGTTTTGTTCATACAGCACCTGTGATTTTATTCATTTGAAGTGTGTTATAACGCTTACGACTGAAAGTACATATGAGATATCGACAGTATAGCACTGGTGCGCTACGCACTGTATTCAGAAAACATTGTAATATAGTAAGGCAAATATTCTGTCACTTATTTTACTGTTAGCCCATGGGAAAGCGGAGAAGCAATTGCATCTCCGTCGAATAGGTCTGATTATGAAAAAATTCTTGCCTTAAGTATTGTATAATTAGAAATCGCATTTGCTTAAGTCATATGGAACTTGAAAATATAATCAGCGCGAAAAGTTACTCATACGTCATGTGCACCTGACACTTCTGTGCTAAATGTTTAAATTACTGCAAACCCTTCTTCTTATTTACTGACTTCAAAACTCTCTAAACATACCAACCGAGTTTAGCTTAGCGCTCCAGTTATTTGTTTCCATTCAAATGTTTGAAAAGGCAAGTCTTTCAGCACGAAGATGGGATTGGGTATTTCTAAAGTATATTCCACATATAGTCCATTTCCCTAGTTTGTATTCATCTTTAAGTTTCAACTCATAAATGTAAGGATCAGCGGCTTTTATTAGCAACTATGAATCGTTTATATGTGTTCGAAATGCGTGCTCCCCTTTTCAAATCGTCAAGTCACCGCAGCCTCAATAAGCTTCTCGTTTTTCTATTTATTTATTATTTAAGGTTGTTATGTTCCGTTTACTTTATGCTATTTAATTTTTCGTCAATGCAATTCATATTCATTCATTATTTGTTCATTCAGTTTGTGTTCGCTGCATAACAACAACAACATTAACTACACAATAATCAGTCAACGCGGTCTGATCTAGTTTGCTGGTGTGTCTGTTGCTGTTGTTAGTGTTGTTTTTGTTTTCGTTTTGCCACAATGGCCTTCTTTCATTAGCATCAGCGCTGCCGTATCAAATTTATGCGCATTTCATGCACATTCGCATTCAGCTGGTAGTTGGAGCATTGAGCTTTCGAAGCGCCGCGGCACTCGCTCCCCAACAAATCGCCTTCAATCGCTTGCGCTCATTAATTATGATTATTGATTCGTTTCCACATGAATGAATGGGGATAATTATTAAATTCCCATCATTCGCGCAAAGTCAGCGAACCAAGCACTGCTTGTCTCTGTTTGTGTATGTGTGCGCGTCTCTGCTTTTATATTGGGTACAAAAAAAAAACAATAAAAACAATGCCCATTATGTCTGCAATAAAAGTCGCCGCCGCCACCGCCACCGCTATCGATGCGCAGTTTCAGCTCCACTTCACACTCGGCGAGAAGCAGCCGAAGCAAGCGAACAAAGCATTCCCACATTTGGCGGCAAATGCGGCAGAACGTTCACTCGCTGCGCTTCGTTGTCGATGGCTCTATGTCATTGACCATACCGGCAACATTAATTAAATACTACACACATATTCATTGTATTCAGTGTGTGTATGTGTATGCATGTGTTCGAATGTAAGCATGTAGCAGAGCAACAACAATACCGGCAACCGTTGTCACCGTCGCTGTAGTTGTTGTGGTCCGCGTGCGCCTAACAATATCTAGTAATTTGTTAGCAATTTGGCTACCGCGCATTCAAACGGACGGACACACTTGCCGCCGAATTTATCGCAGACAACAAAACAATGTGCTAATAGCTAAATATGCGGTGTGTGTGTGTTCGTATATGGCAAGCGATGAAATAATCGCTTTAAAAAGTGTTGACAACAACAACAATGATGGCAGTTTCAATACCCGCTTGGGCCATATTAATTTATGAGTTTGCACGAAATTTTTATTGCCACCCGTACGGATTTTTTGTTGTACTCAACATCGAGTGTATGTATGTAGGTAACGCCAAGTGTATGCGCTCCAATCAACTCACAGCTGCTCTTAAACACGCGCCAAAATAGACTTGATTGCTTTCGCTGAACACGTACACACATGCATACATATGTTTATGCGGGAATATATGTGGGTGAATTTAAAATTAAAAAAATGTATGTATGTACATATATAGTTAGTGAAAAATTATATTATTGTGTGAGTACTATTGAATATGCTTTTTGATAGAATTTGGAATTTTTTCAATTTATTTGTAAAGCATCCTCCTATTTTTTTACAATTTTTTCTTTACACTAGTTTAATTTCTCTGCTATTTTATGTATAAATTTATTTATTTTCATTAAATACACTGAATTATTTTTGCGTTTGTTTTTTATTTTGTAGGCACCTGCCCATCCACCTACTTTACTTGCACTGATGGCGGTTGCATCCCCATGCGCTGGAAATGCGACTCTAAGCCGGATTGTGCGGACGGCTCTGATGAACCGAGTGAATGTGGTGAGTGCTTGGATATTCATAAAGCTCATGAGGGATTTTTGTATGTGTTTTGGAAGATCGCAAGTGTTGTCATTTTGTGGCGTGGGGGTGTTAAGGCGGGTCTAAATATTACGCCAAAGCCTTTAAGCTATATTACAGCAGTTTTTTTTTATAAGTCTTTTTTTTCGAAGCTGACATTGCTGAAGTATTCGCTTGTTAAATACTTACAAAATTTTAATCTCATTTGTTCTAAAAATTGCAGTGAATGCCTCCAAATGCAATGAGGGCCAATTTCAATGCACCCGTTCCCGCAAATGCATACCCAACAATTGGGTGTGTGACAGCGAATACGACTGTGGCGAATTCGATACATCCGATGAGACAAATTGTGAGTATCACTAATATTTGACCAAAGTATACCAAAATATTTAATTACTTAATATTTTAATGAAAAATAGGTCACAGCGATGAACAGAAATGCCTTCCATACCAGAGCGAGTGCAACAACGGTGTATGTCTGGAGATATCGCGCTTTTGCGACGGCACCTGGGATTGCGACAGTGACGAACTGAAGTGTGGTAAGTTGGCGAATAATGTAATAAACGAAAGTTAAAACAAAAATATGGCGTAAATAACCAGCAGCTGCGCTCTCGCTCTCTCACCATTCCAGATAAACAGGATACAGAATGTGCTAACCTCAATTGTTCCTTCAATTGCAAGTTAACTTCGCGCGACGGTCCCACTTGCTATTGTCCGCCGGGTCAGGTGGCTGTCAATGGCACCCAGTGCGCAGATTTCGACGAGTGCGGCGTGGAGGGCACCTGCGACCAGCTGTGTCGCAATACGCCCGGGTCGTTTGAGTGCAGCTGTGTGTCGGGCTATTCGAGACAAAAGAATCGCTGCCTGGCAATAAATGGTAATAAAACAAAAACAACAATTTTCGGTCTTTAATTCGCGCAACCTCTTCTCCACAGTGCCGCCCAGTGAAAACGCTTCGCTGGTATTTTTCACGCAAACTGATATGCGGAGGGTCGACAGCAACGGGGAGCTGCAGGATCATTTTGTGTCCGGTGAGGTATCCGCCATTGAGATATGGCATCGCAATCGTACGGTATGTGCCATGTACTCCAGCGCTTGGACGACGGTGAGCATGCGCTGTCATCGCATCGATGATTTGAATGCCAATTGGCTAATGCCGTTGCCGGAAATGGTCGGCAGCATGCATTGTAAGTACCATTTGCATGGCTCTCATCAACCTACGCTTATATTAATATTTTACTTATATGCAGCCATCGATAAGTTGCTGTTGGACTGGATATCGGGTAACTGGTATTTTCTCAACAATGAGCGGAGCGTTGTGTTTATGTGCACGAATTCGATGCAATACTGCAACTTACTGCTGGAGGATGTATTGAATCCCTCGTCATTGGTTTTGGATCCCACCAAAGGGTAGGCACCATTGTGTGGAGTTTCACTATATGTCCATATATGTATATATCTTTCTCGCCGTACAGTTTCCTCTTTTTTACCGAATGGGGTCCCAGTTTGTCTCGCGTCACCCTCGACGGGCGCAATCGCACCATATTGGTTTCCACACAGATTTATTACCCCAGTCGCATGACGTTGGATTTACCCAATGAACACATTTATTGGATAGACATCTATAAGGATTTTATAGAGCGTGTCGATTACGAAGGCCGTAACCGTTGGGCCATGAAGAAGACCGCAGACGTAAGTGTCGATTTGAACATCAAGTTTGCTCTTTCATAAGAGCAATAAAAATTAAAAGCAATAAAGAAGCTAAATTGTCTAATTGATTCACTTTTCAATTGTGCAGACTCACGTGGTTCTGAAATCGCTGCATGCTGTGGAAGTGTTTGAGAACACCGTCTACATAGCGCCTTGGGTTGATACAGTTATTGTGAAAATCAACAAATTCACGCTAAAAGCTGAGGAAATCGTGAAGGACGCAGAGAGGCCGTATGATTTTCGTGTTTTCCATCGCCAAAAGCAGCCTGAAGGTAAATTAAAACGTTAAGCAATCATTTTTCAAAACAGTTCAAAATACCGAACTTTTCAAGTAGTAGAGTAGAGTAGAGTAGTTCAATTTGGTTTGATTTCACTTCTAAACTTCGTTGGTCGTTTTTCTTCCCAGTGGCGCATCAATGTCGTGATAACAACGGCGATTGCAGTCAAATTTGTGTGCCGTTGTGGACGAAGAATTTCGCCACCGCCCTATGCCAGTGTACCGCCGGCTATAAATTACGCAACCGCACCGACTGCGTACAGCTTAACAATAACAAATTTCTACTTTACGCCAAGGAACGTTTGTCCAGCATTACCGGTGTCTCGTTGAATGTGCTAGAGGTGCAACAGTTGCTGAAACGAGACGAGCACACCGACGCCATTGTGCCGCTATATAATATTACCAGGCCGCTGAGTATCGACATAAATGTGCATGATAAATTGATATATTTCGTTGTGATGAAAGCGTAAGTATTTTTGAGCCCCTTTGGCGGCGCGGACCACAGAAAATAACTAAATCGCTTGCATCGCTTGCAGCTCTAGTTATGCGCTATACAGCCACTCCATTGTAAGCGGGAGACGGACAGTCCTGGCCAATGGCAGCGACAGCTCCTCGATCTTGGCCTACGATTGGATCGCGCAGCACATGTACTGGGGTGAGGGGAAGTCATTGCGCGTGGCGCCTACAAAAAATATGAGCAACATTTTTACACTGCCCCTAGCGGAAATGCCCATGTGAGTGGACACATTGCATACCTACTGCTACTAACATACTTATAACGAATTATATTTTAATATTTTGCCTAATTAGCTCATTGGTGCTTCATCCCGCTGAGGGTATGCTGTATTTTACCTCTTGGAGAGGCGATGCGAAGGGGAAAATCTATAGCGCGTGGCTCGATGGTACGCACAAAAAGGTGCTGGCTGAGAGTGTGAAGGATATGCCGATGTCGTGGCCACTCAGCTTGAGCATCGATCGTCGAGGCAAAAAAATATATTGGTATGTTTGTATGTTTTACCAATATCTTATACGTGTGTATTTTTGTAACTAATTCGGTTTTCGAACTTAAAATCAGGTGTGATGTGAAAACGAATAGCATAGAACGAATGAATGTGGATGGATCGCAGCGCACTTTACTCTTTAAAGACGCCGAATATGAACCGATATCGGTGGCGTTCCATAACGGCGTTGTTTTTTGGGCAGATAAGAAAAAAGGAACTATACACCGATTCCCCGTGAACTCTCACACTGTAAAAACAGCCTCAAAGAGCAGGTAAATATGAAAATATAAAAAAGGAAATTATGCAGAAGTATAAACATTTCAAACTCCATACAGTCAAATGGGTGTACATCTTTTGGAACGTGGCGATATCACACTTCTTAAGGTTTACGATGCCGAAAGCCAGCCAGCCACGGTTGCTGTGAACGCATGTGCCACATCGAAATGCCCGGGTATTTGTTTGAACACTCCACAAGGTCCCGTCTGCCGTTGCCCGGATAATTTCACGCTCAACGCCAACGGTCTGCAGTGCATTCCACAAGTAATGTTAAGTGAGCCGTCGGAAAACTGTACTTCGGGCTTTCAATGCATTAAATCGAAGCAATGTGTAAATACGAAGGACGTGTGCGATGGATTTGACGATTGCAATGATGGCAGTGATGAGAGCAGCATACCGAATGGACCGTGCAATATCAATAAATGTGATTTGAATTTGCATTTTGTCTGCAATAATCGCTGCTACCAACGCGCGCTGCTATGCAGTTCCATTGTGTACTGTAAAGACGGAACCGATCAACGGAATTGTGAGACACACACATGCAATAACAATGAATTCACGTGCGCAAAAAGCGGAAAGTGCATCCAATTATCGTGGGTGAACGACGGCGTGGCAGATTGTGGTGAGTATATTGAGTTTAATCTGATCAGTATTTTGTTTGATGAGCGTGTGCCACATAAAATAGGTCCGGATGACTCTTCGGATGAGATGACGGAGTTTGATATAGAAGAAAAGTGTCCTGAATTCGATTGTAAAAATGGCAAGTGCCGACCATTTTCCGACGTTTGTGACGGCATAGATCAGTGTGGGTAAGGTTTTCAACTACTATACTGCTATATGTTATGGCTGCTTCTAAATGTTGTAAACATTCTTTGAACTCGCGTGTCTTATTCAATCCGTTGCAGCGATAATTCTGACGAGCGTGGTTGCGAGTTTGAGTGCGGACGCGATGAGCACTACTGTGTACCCATTGGCTGCTATGGAGAACTTCACATGTGTGACGGCATACAAGACTGTGTTGATTTTAGTGACGAAGCCAATTGCAATGAAACGAAGAGTGACAATCATCCAATCGATTTGGGCGACGTACATGCCTGTGGTAGTAAAGAGTTCGGTTGTAAAGATCCGTTTGAGTGCATTCCGGCGTTTTTACGCTGCGATGGTATTCCACACTGTTTCGACAAATCAGATGAACTTAATTGCACAACATTAAATGCTTCCCGAGCGGATTTCAATGAAACAATATTTTCATGCGAGGCACCCGATAGGCTCTGTGCTGTGTCGAATAAATGCATTAGCGTTCACCAGCTGTGTGATGGCAATATCGACTGTGAGGACACGACCGATGAAGGATATTTTTGTGCCGACAAAATGTGCGACAAAACGAACGAGTGCTCGCACTATTGCCACAACGCGCCAGAGGGCTTCGTGTGTTCGTGTCCGCCACACATGTTCTTGCAACCAAATAGACGTCGCTGCAGCATGCAGCATGCGTGTGAACATTGGGACACTTGCTCGCAAATTTGCGAAACTGTCGGCAAGGTATACGAATGTAAATGCCACGAAGGTTATGATTTGGAATACGATCGCTTTAGTTGTAAGAGCACCGCTTTCGATGAACCCTATGTTATATTCACGAATCGCCAAGAGATACGTGGGGTCAATTTGAGAAAGTCGGTGGTGAGCAACTTCTATACGTCGCTGCGTAATACGATAGCTTTAGACTTTCTATACAACAACGAATCGGTACAGATTTTTTGGACAGATGTAATTGATGACAAAATATATCGCGGTTCTTTGGTGGGCGAAAGTTTGCGAAAAGTAGAGGCGGTGGTGCATTCAGGCTTATCGACCACCGAAGGTTTGGCAGTAGATTGGATTGGCTTGAATCTGTATTGGGTCGATTCGAATTTGGACCAGATAGAGGTAGCTAAGCTAAATGGTAGCTTTCGGCGTACTTTGGTTGCCGGCGCGATGGAGAGCCCACGCGCTATCGCACTGGATCCGCGTGAAGGTCTTCTTTTCTGGACTGATTGGGATGACAATTTTCCTCGTATCGAACGTTGTTCGATGGCTGGTGAATATCGGCGCACTATATCCACTACGTCTCAAGTGTCAGCTGGTTGGCCAAACGGTCTAACATTGGATTACACACAGAAACGTGTGTATTGGGTGGATGCTAAGTCGGACTCAATATCAACCATCAAGTATGACGGCTCTGATCATCATTTGGTGGTGCGTGATAAGGACATATTATCGCACCCCTTCGCAATATCTGTTTTTGAAAATTACGTGTACTGGACAGATTGGCGGACAACTTCTGTAATACGTGCCAACAAGTGGAACGGTTCGAATATACAGGTAATACAACGCACGCAGACCCAGCCCTTTGGTATACAAGTGCTGCATTCAAGTCGACAACCGAGGGGTGTGAATCCCTGTGGCAATAATAACGGCGGTTGTTCGCATTTATGTTTGCTGACGTAAGTAAAGTGGTATAAGTTATTTTCTGTCAGTTTGTTATATTTTATTGATTTTTTTGGTCCAGCATTAAAAAGGGTTACAAATGCGAATGTCCGCACATAATGCGCTTGGACCCTTCAGACCACCGCACTTGCGTACCCAACGAACAGGTGCTGCTCTTCATAATGGGTGACGAGATACGCGGCATTGATTTGATGCAGCCTAATCATCACACCATACCCACCATACGACAATCACCACAGGCAAGTTATAAACAAAATTAGAAAAATTAAAAACAATTTTGAATTTGATTACAATCTTTCAGGTGCTTGCGCCACAACGCATTGACTTTACTGTCGACGACAGCCGAATTTATTGGTCTGACATACAACTGAATGAAATCAAAACGGCTGGCATTTCAAATGGACTTATCGACACCATCATCAACACTGACATACAGAAACCGTATGGGTTCGCCATTGATTGGATAGCACGTCACATGTACTTCTCGACCGGCAAAACGAAATGCCAGATACTGGCGAGCAATTTAAAAGGGGAGTTCGTCACAGAAATACACAGAGATCTTAATTTGGTGGAGAGCATTGCTTTGAATCCAGCAAAGTATGTTAGCCGGCGCATTATTGAAAAGAAATAAAACCGTAATTATTAAATATTGAATGTGTGTGTTTTGTAGGGGAAAGATGTATTGGATACACTCCGAACGGGACTCAGAACTGTGGCTAATTGAACAGAGCAATTTAGATGGCTCTTCTCGCAGCGTTATTTTCCAACACAACAAGACTTTGTTGAGCTTGACAATGGACTTTGATTCGCAGCGTTTGTATTACGTCTACGACAATTCCGGCATTGCGTACTACGATATTGTGCGAAAGACTGTGATTGAAACATTGCAATCAAGTGAAATTATGACTATAAGCTCGGTGACGGTTTATAATGGCACCATATATTTTCCGGAAAACATACAAAGTGCTATAATGAGCTGTGGAAAAGACTCTTGTCATAACATGACCAGTGTGCGCACAAACACAAGTGAGTTCATAATTTTGCCTCCAGCTTTTGATTTATACATTTACTTTTGTATTGCAGAAAGTATTCAATCTCTGAAGATGTTTTACTCGGAGGCACAAACCGGTACGAATACCTGTGCAGGACCACAACGTGGTGGTTGCGAGCATCTTTGCTTGGCTATATCGTCTACAGAACATGTCTGTCGATGTTCTATCGGTTACAATGTACTCAGTACAAATACTACCCGCTGTGTTGGAAAATCTGAATTCATATTCTATTCAAATCACGAACTTAAAGGAATTGAACTTTACGATCCCAGCACACTAGACACACAGCTTGAAGAGAAACCAGTGAGTAAACAACTAAGCGCTCTCGATTCTTAAAAAAATAATATGTATAAAAAATCTTTCCTCAACTTGATATCGTTTTTCAGGCTCTAGGTCCGATTTCCCGAATTTCTCTGGCCACTTATATTGACTATGATGTGGATAAAGAGTATTTGTACTGGGGAGACAGTGAACGTGGTACGATCTCGCGTATTAAACGCGATGGTACACAGCGATTTGACCTACTACCTGCCATCGATACCACTGACCCTAAGCAGCAAGATTGGTTAGGCGGAATCGCTGTGGACTGGGTGGCTGGAAATATATACTGGAGCGATATGAAGCGAAATCTAATTGAGGTTGCCCGGCTTGACGGATCTCACCGCCATGTGGTTGTCTCCAGTGTAGAGACACCGACGGCATTAGCTGTTGATCCTGTGCAGGGCTTACTATTCTATGTGGGTAGCGGTATTATTGGTCGAACGGGGCTAGATGGTAGTCAATCATTTATACTGGTTAATCAAACAGGCACAGTTAGCAATCTTATTTTGGACATTGATGCTACCAAAGTATATTGGTGCGACAGTGGATCGAAGAGCATCATGAAAGTGGACTATGATGGCAACCTGAAGACGCCACTACTCAATCACAGTCTTGACAATCCCGTGGCGCTAGCAAAAATTGACGATTACCTGTACTGGGCGGACAATAACAACAATAAAGGCAGCATAAAAGTGGCTCCGCTGTCGAATTTATCTGATTTTAAGGATATACTCAAATCGGAGGGAAATTCACTGAAAGATTTAAAGATTTTCTCTCGGCGTGTGCAGAAAGGTTCAAACATGTGCGCAGAAAACAATGGCGGTTGCGAGCAATTGTGTCTATTCAATGGCACTAGCGCTATATGTGCTTGCTCCCACAGCCGAGTAGCAGCGGATGGTTCTTCCTGTGAGCCATATGATAACTTTTTACTGTTCTCGTATCGCAGCACCATCGAGAGTATTCATATGACAGATCATACGAACAAAAATGGACCAATCCATGCGGTACATAACACAACATTTATGAGAAACGTTATAGCTTTAAGCTATGATTACGAGAATAGCGTCATATTTTACTCGGATGTGCAGATGAGCACAATTAATTCGGTACAATTCAATGGCAGTAGAAATCAGGTGTTGGTAAGCCATCAAGGACGCGTCGAGGGCCTCACTTACGACATCGTGAACAAGATGCTCTTTTGGACCTCGAATAATGACGCGTCTATACGTAGTTTGGAGCTGATTCATGTTAGCGAGAACGCTGATAATAATACTCAATTTGTAAAACGAATATTAATGTTGAACTCTAATGACAAACCACGTGGCATTGCCGTAGAACCTTGCATGGGCATGATATATTGGACGAATTGGAACGAAGAGACCCCTTCCATTCAGCGCGCGTACGTTACCGGTTATGGTATCGAGTCCATAATACGTACGGACGTAAAAATGCCGAATGCACTTACGTTAGATTTCGATGAGCATAAATTGTACTGGGCCGATGCACGCCTTGATAAAATCGAGCGTGCTAACTACGATGGTACACATCGTACAGTGCTGGCGCATTCCACGCCAAAGCATGCTTTTTCGATGGCCGTTTATGGTGACTTGCTGTTCTGGACTGATTGGGTGTTACATGCTGTTGTACGCGCAAGCAAATACTCAGGCGCGGATGTGGTGTTCTTGAGAGAGAATATCGATCGACCGATGGGAATTATCGCGGTGCAAAATACCACAATCAATTGCGACTCGAATCAGTGCAAAATATTGAACGGTGGATGCGAGGATGTGTGCATACTAAGTAAGAATGGAACGGCCAGTTGTCAGTGCTCAAGAGGCACCTTGGCACCGGATGGACGCCGTTGTTTACTTTTGCCGAATATAAACTGTGATAAGAATCAATTTTCATGTGTATCGGGCGAATGTATACCATTAGAGTTGACGTGCGACAACATTACACATTGCCTCGATGGTTCAGACGAGCGCCGCAGTTACTGTATACTACGAGAGTGTCCAGCACGTTTCTTCATGTGCAACAATCATCGCTGTATACCGCAGAATAAAACATGTGACGGCATACAACAATGTGGTGATGGCTCAGATGAATCGGAGCTGGTTTGTAAATGTGAACCCGACAAATTCCGTTGCAACAGTGGCGAGTGCATCTCCATGCGGTTCGTTTGTGATAATGTGCGCGACTGCAAGGATTTTAGCGATGAGAAACACTGTCCGCCGCGAGAATGTCCCCGTGGAGACGTGCTATTTGAGCACTGTGTCAACTCAACGGCTTGCTTCATGCCATCTTGGCGATGTGATGGCGACAATGACTGTCCGGACGGCAGTGACGAAATGAATTGCGAAAATGTGCATAAGGTTGCCTGTGGACCCGGTCAGTTTCAATGTCCTAATGGGCTTTGCATAAATGAGAAATGGCGTTGTGATGGTGAAAACGACTGCAAAGATGTCAAGGGCGGGTTAAGTGCCGATGAGGTTGGTTGTAAGATGCAGTGTCGTAAGAATGAGTTCCATTGTGGCAATACGTGTATACCAAGTAGTTGGCAGTGCGATGGCAAACCGGATTGCGAGGACGGCACGGACGAGGGTGCACAGTGCCCGAACAGAGCTTGTCGACCACATTTCTTCCAATGCAAATCATCGGGACGATGTATACCGCAGAAATGGGTGTGCGATGGTGAGCACGATTGCCCAGCACCAGGTAGCGAAGATGAGGGTAAGCATTGTGCAGCGGGATCGGTATCACATGAACTCGATTGCTTACCACTGTCTTTTCTCTGTTCGAGTGGCATGTGTTTGGACCGTCGTTATGTTTGTGATGGAGACCATGATTGTCCTGATGGAGATGATGAATATGAAAATTGCGAACCGTTCCTGCAAGCGCAAGTCTGTGATAATGACACAGATTTCCAATGCCACGACTTGCAATGTATTTCTAAAAATCTTACATGCGATACAAAACCCGACTGTACGGATGGCTCCGACGAAGATGCACAGCTTTGCGCGCACTCACATAATTTGTGTCAAGGGCCCGATGACTTCCGTTGCAGTAATGGCGCCTGCATTGCCACAGATTTGGTGTGCGACGGGCGAAACGATTGTGCCGATTTTTCAGATGAGGAACTGTGCAATATAGACGAATGTGTTATTCCCGATCTGTGCGAGCACAAATGTGTGGATAAAGTTATTGGTTTTGAATGTCAGTGCAACCCTGGTTACAAGCTGCTTGCTTCCAATCAACATTTATGTGACGATATAGATGAGTGTCATGAGCAACATCCTTGCTCACAGATCTGTGTAAACACATACGGGTCTTACAAGTGTTTGTGCGGCAAAGGCTATGAATTGGTGGACCACAACACATGTAAAGCAACAAGCAACGAAACCGTAAAGTTCATTTTTGCTAATCGTTACTATATTCGCCAAGTGGACATGCGCGGTAATGGCTCCATACTCATTCACCAGTTGTCTAACGTGGTCGCCTTGGACTTTGATTGGGAGACGAAGTGTCTTTATTGGTCCGATGTGACTTCAACAGTGGGTATGATAAAGCGGCATTGCCCTGCTGAAAACAAAACAAGTACATTACACCAAGCGATGGTGAAGAATCCAGATGGCTTGGCCGTAGATTGGGTCGGTAAGAATTTGTATTGGTGCGACAAAGGTTTAGACACGATCGAAGTCTCAAAATTGGATGGTAAATATCGGCGTGTGCTAATCAATGAAAATTTACGTGAACCACGCGGTGTTGCATTGGATCCCTTCAACCGTCATATATTCTGGTCAGATTGGGGCGATAATCCACACATTGGCAAAGCCGGCATGGACGGATCTAACCCGCGTATGATAGTAAGAGAGAACTTGGGTTGGCCGAATGCGCTCACCATTTCCTTTGAAACGAATGAACTTTTTTGGGGTGACGCGCGTGAAGACACCATTTCTGTATCCGACTTAGATGGTAAAAATGTACGTATATTGCTAGCGCGCAGTATCAATCCACAATTAAACTTGCACCACATTTTCGCCATCGCAGTGTGGGAGGATAAAATATATTGGTCCGATTGGGAGACAAAGTCAATTGAATATTGCAATAAATATAACGGGCAAAATTGCTCCACGCTTGTGACTATCATTCATCGGCCAATGGATCTACGAGTCTACCATCCATACAGGCAGCAACAGCCGTCAACAACCAATCCTTGCCTAACAGCCGGTTGCGCTACTCTGTGCTTGCTATCACCGGAGGCGCCACACTACAAGTGCGCCTGTCCGAACAATTTTGTATTGGGCGAAGATGGAAAGTCATGTCACGCCAATTGTACAGCGGCTCACTTTGAATGTGCGAATACATATAAGTGCATTCCTTTCTACTGGAAGTGTGACACGCAAGACGACTGTGGCGATGGCAGCGATGAACCAGTCACTTGCCCGGCATTCCACTGCGATCCAGGACAGTATCAATGCGACAACAAGAAATGTATTTACCCTTCGGCTATTTGTGATAACGTCAATAACTGTGGAGATGGTTCGGATGAGCGTAATTGCGAGAAATTCACTTGCTTCGAGAATTACATGAAATGCGAGGCATCGACGAACACGAGCGCATTCTGTATAAGCAATGGAAAGAAATGCGATGGTGTAAAGGATTGTCCGAATGGTGAGGACGAGACTGGTTGTACACCGCTCGTCTGCAATAAAGAGCAGTTTCAGTGTGGTAATAATCGTTGTGTGCCATACGTGTGGGTATGTGATGGAGACACCGATTGTGCTGATAAATCGGACGAGGAAGGTTGTGATTTGGTTACATGTGAGCCAAGCGATTTCCAGTAAGTTTAAGATTACCGTCAAAGCCAAGTACTTGACATTTGCATAATATTTGCTTTTCAGATGTAATTCAGGTCGCTGCATACCGATGGCTTGGCGTTGTGACGGCGAGAACGACTGTCCGAATGGCGAGGATGAACCACCTACCTGCCATTCGTCGAAGGAGAGCTGCGACCCCACCTACTTCAAGTGCAATAACTCTAAATGCATACCTGGACGTTGGCGTTGTGATTATGAGAACGACTGTGGTGACGGCAGCGATGAGCTGAACTGTCAGATGCGCAACTGCTCCGAGAGTGAATTCCGTTGCGGCACCGGAAAGTGCATAAAGCACGACTATCGCTGCGATGGTGAAATCCATTGTGACGACAGCAGCGATGAGATTAACTGCAACATTACATGCAAGGCGAACCAGTTCAAATGTGCCGCATTTAATACTTGTATAAATAAGTAGGTGCCTCTGCGGTTTTAACGAAACGTTGTGCTTATAACTTATACTTTTCATATCTTAGACAATATCAATGTGATGGTGATGACGATTGCCCGGACGGTTCGGACGAGGTGAATTGCACTTGTCCAACCAATTATTTCACATGTGCCAACGGCAAGTGTATAATGTCGAGATGGAAGTGTGATGGCTGGGACGATTGTACTGATGGTAGTGATGAAAGCATCGCCACTTGTGCGCACGAGCATTGTCATGCCAATGCTTTCAAGTAAGTGCTGGATAGAAAGTCTACAATGGCAATAAGCATCTTATGTTGTATGCGTTTACAGGTGCTCCAATTTGAAATGTATTCGCAAATCGGCTCTATGTGACGGTGTGAATGATTGCGTAAATTCTGAGGATGAGTCAGATGAGGTTTGTGCCGCGCTACCGAAGTGTCGGCACGATCAATTTCAGTGCGAGAATGATGATTGCATATCGAAAGCGTTCCGCTGTGATGGCCAATATAACTGTATAGATGGTTCGGATGAGATGAACTGCCAGCCACCGGTTTGCGGTTTTGGAACATGCTCACAGATCTGTATTGAGAAAAAAGCCGGCCACTACAATTGCAAGTGCACGGAGGGTTATCAGAAAGGATCAAAGAAAAACGACAGCTGCTTGGCTTCAGGTATATTCGTTAGGCTCCATATTAAGGGCAATAATATTTGGCGTTTATTTTACATTAATATAAACAATTTATTTTATTGTAATTGGCGTTGGTGTAGGTCCTGAACAAATACTTTTACTCGCCTCTGAACAAGAGTTCCGTTTCATTTTGCCTGCCAAACAAGAGGGCACCACTGTGGTGGGTTTCTTTCAGACAGATAGCTTAAAAATCGACGTTTTCGACATACTGATCCGAACGAAAGATACACTCCTCTTCTGGATTGATTCCCATCATGGTAAAGTGCATACTATGAAAATTGCAACTCCACATGCTGAAACGGGTACGCGCATGCGCAGAGATCTGAAGGAGTTGACGGCTTTTAATGTGAGAATTAACGATACGTAAAATAGAATAGAAATTAATATTTAACGTTTTTTCTACACAGATACCTGATCTGAACGATCCCAAGTCACTTGCTGTGGATTGGATTACCCAAATGGTTTATATAATAGATTCGCGACATAATCAAATTATTGCTACGGACATTGATGGTAAAAAATACATTTCATTGGCGTCGACCGGCATGAATCCCACCGATATTGTACTTGAGCCGGAATCGCGTATTATGATTTGGTCCACACTGGAAAATGGCATTTTGGTGGCATCACTCGATGGTACCAACAAGAAGAGTTTGGTCGAGCGCGATGTTGGCTGGCCCATTAGTTTGTCGATTGACTATCCTACCGGCCGCTTGTATTGGGCTGATTACCGCAAAGGCACAATCGAGACATGCAGATTAAATGGCAAAGATCGAAATGTAGTGCGGCGGTTTTCGAACAAAGGTACGTACATTACTTCTAAGTTTTAAACTTTGTGCACATTTCTGTCATAAATATATTTACAGAAAAGCCACAGAAAATTGATGTCTTTGAGGATTATTTATATATCAAGTTGTATGATCAGAGCATTATTAAAATGAACAAATTTGGTGTGGACAACGGCACGTATTTGCTAAAAGGATATCGCTCATCGGATATTGGTATACTGCATCCACTAAAACAAAATCGCAACAGTAAGTACTATCCAATATACATACACAAACTCGTAAATGCCGGTGGAGATGCCAATTGTAATCTCTCTGTCATTTCAGTCACAAATCCTTGTGCAAAAGAACCGTGTAAAATGAAACGCGCGCTCTGCATACTTTCCTCAGAGGCCCGCAATGGCTTCGCCTGCAAATGTCCCAACGATCTGATAATGGTGGACGATGCGTGTAAGGCACATAGTGAGGTTCCCGATTATTGTCCACTAAAGTGTAACCTAGGTACTTGCAAAGTGATTGATCATGTGCCGAAATGCATCTGCCAGCCACAATTTGAGGGTGAGCTGTGTGAGCACTCGCGTTGTTCAGGTTACTGTTTAAACTATGGACTCTGCACAGTGGCGCCCCAGTTGCCCGGCTCGTCTGAGCCACCACCATTGAAATGTAGCTGCACGCCTGGCTGGTCCGGTCCGCGTTGTGAGACCTCGGTACCGGAATGCCAGAGCCGCTGTCACAATGGCGGTTCGTGCCTAATCACGGACGAAGGTATGAAATGCACTTGCCCGGAATTGTATTTCGGTGAACAGTGTGAGCATTGCGTGAATTTGACCTGTGCTAATGGTGGAATCTGTCGTGAAACTTTAACTGGCACTACACAGTGTGAATGTCCCGATGGGTGAGTGCGCATGCGTAATGGCTATAAATCGAACATTACTAATATATACTGCCTTTTTATTTACTCCTTAACAATAGTTTCACGGGAAAGCGTTGCGAGGTGAACGTTTGTGATGGTTTCTGTAAGAATCAGGGAGTTTGCAGCATTGGCACCAAAGGTGGCCCACAATGCCAATGCGTAGTGGGCTACTATGGCGAACAATGTGAATCCGACTCTTGTCAGACATACTGCTTGAACGGTGGTGTATGTACCGAACGAGATCAGCGCTTGACGTGTAGCTGCGGTGATCGCTTTGAAGGCGAGCGCTGCGAAACCGACTTGTGCAAAACTGCAACACCACCACACTGTAAGTAACGGTCTCTTGTGGACCACCTAATGTTTTCATATTAAATGACAAAATATCACAACTGTCGTAATTTGTTTTAAAACAGTTTGCGATGAATCCGAATTGCCATCACGTAATCCCTGCACTGGCATCATATGCCAGAATAGCGGGACATGCCACGTTATCAAAGGCATGGCCATGTGCAACTGCACCGATCAATGGAATGGCGAGTTTTGTGAGGTAAGCGAACTCTTTCACATACACACACATATGTGTGTTTGTACATACTAAGCTGGGAAGCTGAGCTAATTGCATTTACTATTGCAGCGGCTGGTTGCCGAGGAGAATCCCTGCATTGGCTATTGCAGGAATAGTGGGGTTTGTCATTTGGATGCGTATACTGTGCCACATTGTAGTTGTATTGGTGAATGGGAGGGTGATGACTGTAACACGCCGCCGAAATGCGTTAGCAGCTGTGGCGTTTGCCGTACGGGCAGCTCAATTAATGAATGCCTGTAAGTATGCACCAGCGTCAAATTGATTTCTACTATTGATTTACATATTTATTTCATGACTTGTAGCTGTTCAAGCGGTAAAATCACGCCATGCTTGGCCGAAAGTGCGGACAATGTGAATATTGAGCGTCAGCAAGGGCAGGAACACACAGCGAATGTACTATCGATATTAGCGGTGGTGTTGTCTGTCGCCATATTACTACTAACGCTCTTCGGGGGAGCGATATATTTCCTAAAGTAAGTGCATACAACTAATTGCTATAAAATACTAAGTAAGAAAGTTAAATGGAGGAATTGCGGTTTGAGTTAAATATTACATATTACCTATACATACATACAGACAGATCTATAATCCATCTATATTAATATTTGTCTATTATTAAACATTTGCAGGAAGCATCGCATATCACAGCCATTTTCACATGCACGTCTCACCGATAATGTGGAAATAATGCTAACGAATCCAATGTACAGAGGCGATGCAGATGAGACGCCAGCCTTCGTGCACGAGGACGACAAGGTAGCATTATACAGCAGTGAAATTAAGTTACTTTTCTTTCAACTCTTGTTCTTGTTTGTATTCAGGGTAATTTCGCGAATCCCGTATATGAATCCATGTACGCGGATGCAATTGTCGAGCCGGCGGCGGTGGTTGAGAATGTTTTGAATACGGCACCTGATGAACGCAAGGGCTTGCTGCAGCACTCACACGACGACACAACTACACCAGACATTCTTTGATGATTAACTACGAACGAAATGTGTTAATCTGGGGATCACCTCAATCGTATAGGTTAGAAGAGTAAGAAAAGTAAGAAAAGTTTAATAGCAAAGCAAAATGCTATGTAGCACCAACAACTTTCACAAGCAGCCATTTAAATAGCACATATACGAACACACTGCTATTTAAATACACATACATACATGTAAAGGACTGATAGCGTAACGATTTTTTGTATTTATTAGTTTTCCATGTGGGAAATGCTATTTTCTCAATTAGCGTGATTAATCGGTTTAATACAAAGATGGTGTTTTAGAGTTAAAATGAAAAATGTCAATAACAAATTATAGGATAAAATTAGCAGATTCATTGTACAATCAAGCACAGTGTGCAGTGCATATTGAAGCAATGTTTTGTAAATAGTCAATAACTAATTAGGCTGGTGTTAGTCGAGCTTAAAAATAGCATATCAACGCCAGGCAGTTATTTGTATGTATGTAGTTAGTAACTAAGGAAGGGCAATGTATGTGTTTGAAATTGTATATTTTATATTTTACGTTTTAATTTTTTTTTTCGTTGAAAACAAACGCCGTAGTTAAGCCAATGACGAGGTAGCAAATTAATCGAATTATGAAACGAATAACTGTGAATAATCTTGCTATTTGCCTTATGTGCATTTTCTTACTTATTTCTTTTTTTTGATATTTTATATTTACATATATGCGCCAAAGTGTTAAAATTGTTAATTCTTCACAGAAAATTGAAATTGTGTAGGAAAAAAGGGATATAACGGCATACGTACATATGTATGCAGCAATCTCTTGTTGTTGTTGTAGCGGTAGAACTCCGCCGAGTTGGCCGGCTAAAAATGCGGGTCCGTTCCGGTTACGTAAACCCGGTATGTAGCAGTCTCATTGGGTGTGGTCAATTGATACAAGTAATAGTGCTATATTGAACCTTATTGCCATGCCTGATAAACGATTTTCGTTGAAGCTTCATTAATAAACTAGTCTTTTAAATTCGTACAGCTATTATTCTCAAAGAAGCTCTTTAAATATATGTACATATACGTATATTTGTACAATTGGTGCATTTATATACAACCGCAGAAGGTCTTCAAGAAGCCACATACCCGGAATATTCCAAAAAGCATTTTATTGTAAATAACTCCAAAAATGAATGAAGACTTGTATATGCCATTACCTGTAAGATTAATTTTTATTTTAATACAATACAAATGACTGTTTACTTCGTCGTAGACTAGAATCGATAACGAATATGTTTAAAGACTTTAAATAGGTACTAATATACATACATATATAATATACATACAACATATTTACTGGTTAAGAAACGAACAAATGCTTGCATTTAAATGAAATCGTGAGATTCTTCAATAGATTTAAGTTTAAATTTACAAATATGCACACATTACTATATACTAAGCTATAAATGCTCCCATTGCTCCCATGCATGAATATGTATGTATGGATGCTTGATTTTTGAGATGGCAACCCGCCAGTACGGCATGAGTGAAGTATGCTGTACCGGTGATCTGGTACATTATCACTAACTAGTGAGCTAGTCAACTAACTAGTCTCTCACTAGTGAGCCTTACTGGCGGCCAATTGTAATATAGTGAAACACACACACGTAACATATTTAGTTGATGTAAATTAAGTAAAACAATGATGTTTTAAAAACGAATGAAACTGCACTAAGAAACAAACATACATGTATACATACAAATGTTTTCCTTTTGTAAATTAAAAAGCGAAATAAAAGTTTTTCGAATCTCCCAAGTCCGTTTATTGTTATTGTATTATATCTTCTAACAATTTTTGAAACTTAACTTCACTGCACCGATACACTGGAGTGTGCAATAAACTGGTATAATCGATTCCGAAGACAAAAGTTTCAGATGCGCGCAAATGGTCCCAGGTTATATTAAAGGGTTATCGGGAATGTTTAAAAAAAAGGAAAAAAAAGGTGTCTCGCTTGCTGTGCTAAAACTTTCGATATTCCTTTCTTTAAGTAGATAAATAACAAGCGTTGACATTCGCAATTACTACCAAAAAAATATTTTGATTAAGTATTTTTATTAATGCTTACGTCATATGGGGGAAATACGCTCCGTCCAAGTTTTCGATAAAGTCTATAGCTAGTTCTTGCTGTTGAGAATTTGATATATCTACATATATTTAAAATAAGAATCTAAACTTATCTATATCTATTTCTAGATCGTTCGGAGTGTAACTTAATTTCAATTATACCGTATCTGATCAGTTCGTTTACTTATATCAGAGAATGTAAATGATTCATTGATCTCTGCTCTTGTAAATGTATGTATTCCAACAGCGATGTTAAGAAGGGTTTAAATGAGCACATGTATGTATGTACATATTGGTGTTTGATAAATAAGAAATTGTGCAATGTTAGCAAGTCTTGGCTGTGTCGTAGAACAAAGAATATATAAAACAAGAAAAAACGTTAACTTCGGTTGCAACGAAGCTATAATACCCTTCACATACATTCATACAAAGGTTCCTTACAATAACTTGATACCGATCTAATTTCGTGAAGATGCCTCGTCAAATAAAAAAGTTTCCCATACAAGCTCTTGATTCCGATAGTTCAGACAGGTGAAAAATTCCAGATCGATAGCTTAAAAACTGAGGGACTAGTTCGCGTATATGGCTAAATCAACTCAGCTCATCATGCTGATCATTTATGTATATATTTTATAGGGTCTCCGACGTTTCTTTCTTAGTGTTACAAACTTCGTGGCAAACTTAATGTATACACCCTGTTCAGGGTATAAAAAGCGTAAACGGAGTAGTTCACAATAATCACTGTGAGCCGAGCTAATGTCAATAAACATACGGCAAACGGAGCTTAAATTGAGATATCGAATGATAAATTCCAGAAGCAGAAAAGCGTCAAGTTGTTGAGATCTATATAAATATATGCATGGGAGATCGGTAAATAATGGAAAATTATGACATTTGTACCGTTTTTATTCCGAACAGAAAATGTACAATATGTTAGAGAAACTCGATGTCTAATGCCTTCCGTATCAAAGTTTTGGGTTTGCCCTAGTAGAGTGCTGTCATAGCCGGTACGGCTTAAGACATTTCCGCAGCGAAGTTAAACGGCGCAAAAGTGAAGTTCAAAATCAAATAAAGAGCGTATATTATATAAACTTTCTGATTTACATATTATTGTACATAAACGAATATATTATGTTATTTAGAAAAGTGTATTTAGTTTGGCTGGCTGGACGTTAGTTTCCATGTTTTGTTTATATTTTTTTGTTCAATTTTCGTAACTTCACTTTTGCCTTCCTGCATGGGAAAGTAATCAATGATGAGGGCCACATCATCAGGACGGCAACAGAACATATAGCCCAGCGTTGGCAGACGTCGCAAATTTCCAAATGTGCTATTTCTTAACCATTCAATTTCGTCACATACATCAAACTCACAGAACTCATCATGCGTTGGATTCGTGACCTGTAAAAATTGAAAAAAGAAGTAATTGAATTTTCAGTCGATTTCTTAAGTCGATATTCTTTTCTTACATAAGGTGAATTGTGAGCAATAACCACAATATCGTCTTTTTTATCCTCATCTGCAGAAAACGGAGATTGCAAATAGGCCCAAATATACGTAGGCGCCGTGATTGCTATGCTATCCTTTTGAACGGTGACACTTTCTTGTACCCAATTTCCCCGACCCGAAGGTGCTGTCATATTACCGTAAGTGCCCATATGAACGAGATATTTTACGGAGCGCGTGCGTTCCTTCAAGGCCTCGAGGAAGTAGCGCCAGTTATGTTGACGTAGTTGGCGCCACCACATGGTGTTTAAAATGAATGCTTGCCTTTCAAGTTGACTCTTCAGCGGTTCGTTTTGCAATAAAGTGGTATAATCGAATTCGAAGGCATCGAAAAGGGTATGTGATTTGCGCAGCTTATCTCGGGTCTCATTAAAAGTGCGCTGACTGTCATTTATTTGAGTAAATTTAAATTGTTTAGAGGAAGCTACAGATATTAAATTAGTGAGTACTCACCTCATAAATGGAAAATACGTTTCGAGGTTTCGAATCTTTTGGTCTAAGTCTATGGAAAGTTCATTAAGGTTTTTCTTCTATTGAAATAAAAATAGAATTTAATGTTAATGCAAAGGGAAAAATTGAGAGATTATGTAAGATTAACATTCCATAACATTCATCACCTACCTCATCGAAGATGATGGCCTCGCTATTCGATTGTGCTATGAAACTGATAAATTTCAATTTAAAATAATCGAGATCATAACAGATACCCGCTTTAATATCACTTGCCACCGTCTGGATCGGCGCACCGATTGCAAAAGTCATGTAATTCTCGCAATTCGGCAGTATTGTTGTACTTTCATAAAGATCATAGTTCGTTTTAGATCCGCACAGAATAGTCATTTTTGTACTAAATGCGTTGAGAATTCCCGTTATGCCAATTTGGTTATCCCCATCACAATTGAATTCTGCGGTGTTTGAGGACAAAAGCTGGTCGATCTGAGTATTGTAGTATCTGTTGATTATAGATTTTGCATTAAATTAACGACAACAAATTCTCTTTTTACATACTTATGGGTGTGCTCGTATACCTCTATCGCTCATACTAACTTACTTATCTATAACTTTCTTATAAGCCAATCCCGAACTGCAGTATGCGGTAATCGATTCTCCGATATCTAGTTGTATTGAAGATGCTTGTGATTTGAAAATAATTTTTTTTGAACCAAAATTTTGCCCAAATAAAGGAGCAGGACTTAGAATATCCAGTTGACATGCAGATATAATTTCACATCCGGTCACGATCGTGATAAAATATATAAGAGTGATATGCGACATTGTTGGCCTCACCGCTTCGTTAATAATCTATAACTGAAATTCAATATTAAGCACACCATGCTCGTATGCTTACTCGTTCACATAAACGATGGAAATTATTGTATATGTATGTGTATGTGCATGTGTTTATCTCATGATTGTCGAGCGAGAAATTCATGCATACATGAAAAAGTGCGCCAAGGTGACCACAGAGTACATCAAAATGAAGCGCATTCCATATAAAACTTGTGACCTAATAAATTTTGTAACGTCCTAGTGCCGGGCCACTCCAAAATTCATGTGCGCGAAGTAACTAACGCAATGCTGTTGTAGTAAGGAGCTGGTATAGAGCAATGAGTTGGTTCACAGCTGCATTACTGAATCACTACCCTAATTTTCGAAGAGGTGCTATCAGTTCCCATTAGTAAGCTTGGTGAGCAGATTTTTAAGCCTAGTTACCGTTACTACTGCCAATTTACGTCTATTTCAAGCGGTTGTTAACTTCTTATTCTCTTTACGCTTACTAATCGGCTAAAGAAATCCTTCGTACGAACGTAGACAGTATTTTGGGTAGCAAGATGCTTTCGCTGCAAACATTTATTACGTAAAAACTGCAGAGCTTCTAAAATGCTTATGTAACTATGTATATGATTGATCTATTAATTGGTGTAGATCTATAGATACTATGCTGCGATCTAAATATAATTTATTAATTGACTTGGTTTCCTTAAGCGTTTGGTTATATTATAAGGTTTTATTGAAATCCATAGAAATGTTGAAAAGTATAACGTTCCAAGCTGAATAGAGCATATTTCACTCTACGGTTCTCTTTAAAGTTTTCGCCTGGTTTTCGCTGATTATATTCGCACGTTCATATATATATATATAAGAACTATTATATTATATTATGTATTGCCATTCATATACGTCTACTCTGGTTTTTAGCTGATAAGTTGCAAACCTGTTTGTTTAATTCAACATTTGTAAATGTATGTGCTTTCTTGAGTCAACCCGAAACTTATTTTCTTTTGAATATTTTTCCTTGAATTGATTGCTCACTAAATATCTCTCGAGTTTTCATTGCAAGTATTGCGTAAACCTTTATTAAAATAAATTTTACCAGATACTGTCAATAGATTCTTTGAAGTAGAGAGGAGCGCGTATGACTAATTAGATAGCAAATAATGAAGCGGTGCGAGTTCAATGCTAGTATTTTTACTCAATTTCGATTCCGTCACTTTAAAATCTTGTTATTATCACCAAATTTTGGTAAAGAGTCAAGTTTACTGTTTACATTTCTAATATATTCTATTCTATTTATTTACGGCCAATGACTGTCCTCTAAATTGCTTTCGCCCATAAAAAGGATTCCTATAATTATATATTATATTTCTATATATTTCTTGCTTTGCAACAGCTACATAAAATTATATTAATATTGTAGAATATTTGAGAGGATATAAATTTTGTTATATTAAATTGATAACAGTTGCGGTTGATTATGCTGTTGATGAGTGCAAGGGAACAGCGGCAGTTGTTGTTTTCAAGTCTTTGGTGGACAGCGGAAAGTGCTCGATGATCTTCGCTACTTCTTCCACATGACAACAGAATGTATAACCGAATGTTGGAAAACGGCGTAAATGTCCAAATCTGCTCTTTTTTAACCAGACAATGTCGTCACAAATATCCTTTTCACAGAACTCCGTGTGGTCTGGAGCCTCTATCTGTAAGCGAAATTGAGTAAAAATAACCGTAAGTGTGTTATGAAGACTTATATGGTATGTTATAGTTGACTTACATAGGGAGAATTGGTTGCTATTACAACAAATTCCTCTGCGGTATTCGGTATGAGTGGTTTCACATATGCCCATATATATTTAGGAGCCGATACAGCCAAGTCACTCGATTGTACAGTTACATCTTCTGGCTTGCCTTCTGGGTTCTCCTTCGCTGGCATTGTTGCGTTACCATATGGTCCTATAAATATTATATATTTCTCAGAATATGTTTGTTTTTTGAGCGCATTGAGGAAGAAGCGCCAATTATTTTGACGTAGCTGTCGCCACCACATCGTATTAAAGACATAGGTAAAATCACCGAATTCATTGCTAAAATAGTCGTCTTGCAGAATGCTGTCGTAGTCGTATTCGAATGCATTGAAAAATGGATTTGCATCGCTGCGCATAACATCCCTTGACATATTGAAAGTTGACTGGCTGCGAGTCATTAAAATTGAAAAATTTAAAGGTATACATAACTTTGACAATACATACATACATACGTATATAAGGTGAAAATATTCTTTACCTCATAAAATCGAAATAGTTTTCAAGATTACCAACTGCCTGCGCAAGATCGACACCGAGTTCGTTTGAAAGGTTTGCCTTTGTTATAGATATAAAAAATTAAGGATATATTATATAATCCATATGCATTCAATCATATTTTTAAATGGCATGGAACTGCCAAGAGGACTCACCTCGCTTGAAATCCAAATATCGTTTCTTTGGTAAGCTATATAGTTAGCATACTTCAGTGCGAATCTCTCAAGATCATAACATATGGCTGACTTAATAACTGTACCAACTAACGGTATATTTTCGCCAATTGTATAACTCATGAAATTATCACAGTTCGCCAATGTTCTTCTACTCTCATAAAGGTTTGAACTAGTCGACGACGAGCAATAAATTGTCAAGTCGGTATCATAGATATTTTGAAATTGCCCACTAGTATAGATGTAGCCGTCGTTGTTACATAATAGCAGTGTCTTTTTACGAAGCGCAATGCTTTCAGGATTTGTTCTGTAGCCCCTATATCCATATAAACATTCATGCTGACGCACATAAAAAATTACAAAAATTTATTTGAAAAATCCGCTTACCTATAGACTATGCCGCTCGCACAATAAACCTCTATACTATCATTCTCACTAAGTTTTATTCCACTTGCTTTTGCTCGAAATGTTACATTTTTGGAACCGAAATTTTTCGTCAATAAAGGAAACGGATGCTGCACATTTAATCGACAAGCTTTTGCAAAACTAAAAACTGTTATAATCAACAAAAATAGTTTCATATTTGCTTCAAACATCGTTACAATTCCCCACTCAGATATAATGAAACTGACAAAGGCTTCGGCTGGGTCTGTGCATTTTATACCAAGCGCCTCTTATAATTTATAAATGTAAACATTGTTGCTTGTTTATACTGGTTATAGGTATACAAGTATGTATGCATGTATATAGATATACAAATTTTGCTGAGACAGCATATTTCTACTCGAACATTAATGCGACATTGTGATTTCATGGGATTATCATTGAAGGCACTGTCACCGATTGCTTTTTATTGAATGCATAAAGCTATACTTGTACTATATGTATAAAGCCGACGGATTTTTTCTTATAGCAAGCAAATTATGTGATTGTTAATATTCCATTCCATGTTCTCAAATATCTCTTCGATATCATATTGTGTGGAAGCATATTAAGAGAGATATCTGCCAATTCTCGAATAAAAAGCACACAAGGGGTCAATAATTTCGTTCATAATTTGATTATAAATTATTAGTGACGACGAAGAATTCTTGCCTCGAAGTACTTTTCATTTTCGTCCCTAACAAACCAGAGTTTGGTAAAAATGGGTGCGTTGGTATTTTAACTCCTAGCTATGATTGACAGGTTTGTGTAGCTCTAATAAAGAATGGAGTGTAACAAGCTCACTCCCTGCTTAAAAATTATTAAAGCATCGAGGCAATGTATGCAGAGCCACTGCACTAACTAAAACCGTGAGATAATACCTTCTTCTAAGCAGAGTCCTAGCAAAACAAAGCACTGTTGTAAAAGTTAACTTTTGCAAACTTGCTATTCGATAATATTTCTAGAAAACTGTCTGGTCGGGTTGAGAGTCAAACTAGTTGGAAAATTTTTTATAATTCCTGGATTTCACTGCAGGTAAAGAAAGAGAAGTCAAATTACTTCTCTAAACTCAGCTGAAGGTTTAAAGTTGCATACAAACTTACCGAGTATTGAACTGAAATTATATTTATTTAAGTAAAATGAGTATACATTTTAGTTATTTGTGTTTACTCAAATAACAAAGTTCAAAATTAATTCAATAATCGTCTTCTAATATTCTATCATAATAGGTAACCTCCTCTACTGTCTTTAGTGTAGTCTCACTATCAGCCATATCAGTAAAAGGAAAATGATCGATAACATTGGCGACCTCGCCTGGGAGACAGCAGAAAGTGTAACCAAGCGTTGGTAGACGTCGCAAGTAGCCGAATTTGCTTTCGTTCAACCACTCAATTTCGTCGCACATATCAACAACGCAGAATGGATTATGCTCTGGGTGTTCAGCCTGTGTGTATATGTAAAGGTGTACAAGGTATTTGTATATGTATATGTATAGTATTTATGTTTTTGCAATTGGAATGTATTGCTGTATTACTTACGTAAGGTGAATTATGTCCGATTACAACAAACTCCTCCACATCATCGGTAGCTAGTGATTTCACGTATGCCCACATATATGCCGGTACCAAAACCTCTGTGTCACTAGTTTTGACGGTTAGTAATTTCGGTTTTGGTGAAGTGCAATTATTCGTAGCCGATGGCAAGCTGATGTTGCCATAAGTGCCCACACTAACTAGATACGATCTTTTGGAAGATTTCGTTCGTTGGTCGAGCGCTTCGAGGAAGTAGCGCCAATTCTCCTCCCGTAATTGACGCCACCATAGAGTATTAAACGTGTCCGAATGTTGGAATTCTCTCCTTAGCGATTCGTCCTGTATTAAGCTTTCGACTTGAAATTGGTTTGCCAAAGCGCTATTCAATGAGTTCTTACTGCAAATAGCACAAAAACATAGTGGTTTATATGTAAGTGCAAGTCCTATGTAAAAATAATTAAAACTTACTTTATAAGATCAAAGTAGTTGTTTAAATCGTTGGTTTTCAGGTCGAAATCGAGACTTACAGGCAACACACTGTAGTTATGATTCTATTATATATAATATGTACAAATACATGTATGTTTGTTAAAGGATACGTGTGCTGCTTTAGAAAAGAATGTGCATACCTTTTTAAATAATCGGACATTTATCGAAGAGGCGACATACATGGCGAATTTCAACGATAGTGTGTCCATATCGTAACAGATGCCAGCCTTGATCTCTTCACCCACATCAACGTGTTTAAAACCGATTGCGTAATTATTGAACCCATCACATTTTGGTAAAGCTGTGCTGCTCTCGTAAAGTTTGAATTTTATTTCATATGCGCATGAAACATGTACGTTTTTATAATCAACATCCCTAATTTTAATCTCATTATTCAAGCAATCGAACACAACTGTATTTTGGATTCGAGATACGAAATAATTTCCATAGGGCCTGTATAGTTATAAAGGCAGACACGTTTATTTAATTAAATAAGTGCTGTAAGTGAGGCTTTGAAATTGCCTCTTTCTCTTACTTACTCTTGTATTTTTACTTTCAGTTCTCCATCACTACAATATGCCTTAACTGAATCTTCAAAATTCACTTTATTTTTATGCGCTTTAAAGACTATAGCCCTGGATCCAAATGTCTGCGTGAATAATGGCGAGATTCCGTCAACCGATAGTGTACAAGTTGACACATAGTCAAAAACAGCGGCAACTGCCACAAGGAATACAAAATTTTGCACATTTAACATTTTCACTTCGTCTACACAAATTTTTTACAGAACTGTACAAGCAGGGATTGTTGAAGCTCCTTTTATACACAAAACGTCTCAATGCTAATATACATTTTAATACTGGGTGAACATTTTCAATCCAAGGCTGTTTGCTTCAAATGTGCGTTTTGAATTTCAATTATTTTTCAGCAATGTTGGCTTTGGGTCGAATGTTTGGTGGGCATGGTTAAATAATACTATCATAAAATTGTTCATACATACTAAGGTATGTTCGATCTAATATCAATATAGCGAGATGTCAACCGTAGACTCACTGAGCGGTAAGTGTCGAAAACCCAAAACATTTTGATAACTGAACTCCAAATTTAGTAAAACTCTTTTACTACTTCATAAAGAGGCAAGATATTGCAGCAACACCCTATAATTTGTTATCTGAGTTATTTAACTTCGTATACATGATTTAATGAAACAATATGCCACATATGCTGGTTATACAAGTACAAGGCTTGCAATCAAGTTGTTGTAATATAATTATTAAGCGCGAAATCTGCTCAAACATTTTCAACCAAGTACTTTATCGCATTACTGCTTGGTAATGACTTTGTAGCAAACAGAAAAAAGGTTTCGTCTAAAAATAAGTTCTTTATTCGAAACTGATAACCGTTATTTTTTTACTTATTTTGCTGCACTAATCCAATGGAAATTGCTTGAAGAACTGTGCCACCTCTTCTGGACGGCAGCAGAATACTATACCGAAGGTCGGCATCAAACGTGTGTGGCCAAATTTGCTCTTCTTCAGCCAGTCAATCTTGTCGCATATATCGTGACAGAATATTGCTGAGCTCCTCAGGTAGAACTGAAAAATGATGAATTTATTTGTAAAATTTTGTTATTCAGAGCAGTGAACATGGAAGCTGGTACTTACATAAGGCGAATTGTAGGCGATGACAACAAACTCTTCATTCACGTCGTCTTTCAGTGACTTCAAATATGACCAAATATATACCGGCGGCTGTACCACTAAACTGCCGACCTCAATCGATAAATGATCACCTTCGGCGGTTATGTTGTTGCTGGAAGTGTCCGGTATTCTCAACTCACCTGAAGTGCCAACGTACACCTTGTATGGGATGAGCTTAGAACGTGCATCCAGCGCTTCCAAGTAGAAACGCCAATTACCAATGCGTAGGTTGCGCCACCACATTGTATTGAAGATGTGAACGAATTCGGCGAATTCGTCCTGAAGCGGCGTATCCTGCAACAGGCTGACATAGTCAAAATCGTAGGTCTCCAGTATCGACACTGCTCGCTTGACATTACCCAATTGTTGGCTAAACTCAGCTTGACTGCAGAAAAAATAATAGTCATGAGAAGTTTTTGGTTGGACCATAGAAATTCTCAAGCGAAATACGCTTGCAGACATACCTCATAAAAGAAAAATATGTATTAAGATTGCCGAGTCTCGTTTTGAAATCTACAATCAATTGATTTTGACTTAAGGCCGAACTGTTTAACTGTAATTGCAAAGGAAATGTTAAGCGGACTAGTTCAATTTTAAGATATTTCACTCACATTGATGGTTTCACCATACTTAGGTCGGTAGGCCACGTAGTTGACGTATTTGAGCGCGAGTGTGTCGAGATCATAGCACATGCCCGCCGATATGATATCCTTTACATTCGGCACAGCGAGACCCATCGCATAGTTCATATACTGCTTGCATTTCGGCAATTTTGTGCCACTCTCGTATAGTGTTAGCGTCCACGGATCCTTGCAGCGAACATACACCGAATTAACGTTGGTATCCTTGTAAATGCTGGAATTCGCATTTCTATAATACAGTCGATAGCCTTTATGGCACTTAAATTGTTTACTGCCATCCATATTGGTATTCTGCGAGCTACCATTTAATTTCGTTTGAATACTAAAAAACAAAAACGAAAGCATTTGTATATGTACGCATATGTCGTTGACGAGGCGAATCAATGCAATAATGTAATCACTCACAAAATCCCGGTTAGACAGTCCACCTCCACTTCGTCCGTTTCATTGAGCTTGATCGAGCCCTCTTCCTGCGCGTACATGACACGATGGGCACCGTCCGTCTTCATTACCACCGGCAAGTTGTCGTGGAAGTGCAGCACACATTCGGCGTGCGCACGCGCGACAATGCTCAGGAGCAGCAGTGTTAAAGCAACGAAAATCATCTAATTGTCGTTTTAAACAGTTGATACAGGTTGTGTTGCAGCTTGCGGCGCTTAAGATGTCACGAATGCAACTATATTCTGCAAGTGGTACACTTGGCTTTTTATTGATACTTAGTTTTCGTGAAGGCATTGATTGGCAGTTGTTTTGGCTGTCGATGGACCACCCGATTTGAGAGGGTGGTGCAGCTAAAAAGATGTTTTGTTGGCGGCAGCAGCATTTAGTATCGCCGTCGTTCGCTAAGAAAACATCTGTGCGGTAGCTATTGAGGCGCGGCAGCTTCATTCATATATTCATAACATAAAGAGCTATTAAACGCATGTTTGTTGCTGCGTGCCTTTTCCAAAATTATGCCAAGGTGATGCCAGAGATATCCAGTACTTTAGCTCAGCGCAGTGGAGCCCTAAAAATATGAGAGGTACATCATTCCCAGCTCAGTTGTGACATGCAAAAGGTTCTCTCGAGAATCTATCTGCTTTTGTGGCTCTCCGTCTAACGCTCACCAAACAACCAGACGTTCTGGCATGTCAATTTCGCGTACCGTCTTCGGAACACATGCCAGAGGACTGTACAAATTGCATCTACACCGATATTTATGCATATTTGAGAACTTTTGATGTGATTTCTGATTTTTATTCATAATTCATACATATGTATGTATGCACGGCGAAAGTAGTAAAGTGTTGAATGAAATACGAGTATATAAACAAAATTTGTAGGCTTGCACACATACTAAATTTTTGCATATATACAAGAACATATGGATTTACATTTATACTTAATATATGAATGTATGTATGTACTATATATGAATATGAAAATATTTCCAAACTACCATGAAACATTGAAACCGTTGATTATAAACGACATATACATATATGTATATATATTTGTATGAATCATCTACTATATATGCATATACAAGACCAAGTATGTATATGTGCATGTGTATGCACCACAAGATTTATTTAAATTAACGCCAAACAAAAAATGTCGATTTAAAAACATTGGGCCAATTATGAAACAATCAACCGTGTGAATTTCATGAGAACAGAAAAATCTCCTTAATATTCCCATGCACTATGTATGTGCAAGGAAAAACAACAATAAGAACTGCTGCATACGAGTACATACTCGTATATGTATGTACGAACACACTTACAGACTTGTTAAAGGCATACTCGTATGTGTCTTTAAAAAAGGAATCAAGAAATACCCAAAATAATAATCGGAGCTGCAGGATGAGCAGCTCGAGCAGAGAAGCAATGAGAATGAGCCTGTGTAAAGTGCGGCAGGCAGTAGATTCCTGCGCTATCGCATAACAAGTGCACAAACACATAGTGCGTACATTAAGGTGGTTCAAATTTTTATGAAAAATATTGAAAATACACAAACTAATTTTATCATAGTTATACTCTACCTTTTTAAATTTTGTCCTTCTTAGCGAAAATATTGCGCATTGCAGATACTAAAGTTGTTAAGAATTTGGCTAACGACTCGACTTTCAATCGATCCAATAACGCACAGTTATATTGTTTATTAGTGGTTTTGAATGTTTCCCATAGTCGAAAATAGTTCCATGTGAATACCAAAAATACTGGCCGGCCTGCGATGCTTTCAGGCGTTACTGCCTTGCTGAACGCTTACGACGAAATTCAGCCAGTACTTGACCATTGAATATGTTGTGATCAAGCCATTGTTTTACATTAACTGTATACAAACTTTGGTAAAACACGAAATTCAATATTTTCCACACTGAACAAAAAAAAAGAAAACAGCGGTGGCGTAAATTTGAGATCAATAACTTGAGAACGATTGGATGAAATGTCATGAAGTTTGATCATTCTAGTTAATGTTAGTGCTCTAGACCAGAGCGATCTCTCGGCTAAGCGAAATAGTTTTTAGCTCATGTAGCATCGATTATGAATAACAAATCAGCAAAATCACAGATTTTTAACGTTTGCAGGTGCTTTTTTCTGTTACTAAAAATAATGATCCACCTTTATACATTAGGCACATATTTACACTATTATCGACAACAACAAAGAAATGTAAAATCAGAAAAAGTACACAATAAAAAAGCAGCAACAACTACAAAACGGCAACGAATTCTCAGCAGCATGTCAACACTTGCCAGTATGTGTGGGAATTCTTCCGCAGAAGCGAAAATGAACAAGTGAAATGAGAATCCACGCCTACGCACACAAAAGCGACACGCATGCACATACACGAGTGATGCATAGACATCGCCGGCGCACATGTGCCTCCTAAAGAGGTGTGCGTGTGAATTAACGATTATTAATGCAAGCGAAAGGATATGAAAAAGGATAAACGCAGTTAAAGGAAATGAATTTTAATACATTTTATTCACTTTTGATTTTTTCCAAAAACTTTTCTGTACACATTTTCTTTATTAAACCACGGCGTCGCGAAGAACGTGTGAACTTGGCAGCTCAGGTGTAGCGCACTGCTCTGTGCATGTATGTGTGCGGTGTATCAGCATTGAATGCTTATGGTACACGCTTAAAATGCATAGCGGAAAAGGAGTGTGTTTGTTCCGCCATCAAGACGGCGAAGCTTGTGTGTGTGTGCAAGTAATTCAATCATTTGCCTCTCTCCTGGTTCGCAGCGGAAATGCTGCTGTCGTGTAAGTGGCAGCACGCAATTCGAGTGACTGCCACACGCTTACTCTTCTGACAATTAAAAGCGGAAGTCAATTTGTTTGCCTTTACAAGGATTTCCCATTGAAATGTTTCGAACTGTACGGAACCAAAGGTATTATCTGTCTGATAGCTGCTGTTAGTAGCAAGTTTTAAAAGAAATTTGGTTGCTGGTTCTTCCGAAACAACACTCAAAATCACATTTATTTATAAGCAAGGAAAAATCGCAGTTTTTATACAAAGTTAATTCATTCATTTAAGCTTCACACGCACACACATGTAAAAGGCCGGTTTAATGCACAGCACACTGTTTACCGGAAGTATTGTTGCATTGTGTATACTTAACGGTATTATTCGAATTTATCTCCAAATGCGAAGTCGTAGCACCACCTACTGTAGGACCTTTGAAAGCTTACACGTTTCATTTAAGTCTCATATTTTCTGGTGTTTAGCGCCGTTAAGCTACTTTGTAGCGCAATAAAGGGCAGTGTGACAATCAGCTGATAATAGCAAAGTGCTCTCAATAATTTGTCGCACACCGTATTTACGTATGTTTGTGTATGTTGTGCGGAAACGGCCTTCAATCATAATTATTCGCACTTTGTGCGAACGTGCGAACTCACATACACACCTACGCATACGATGACGTTTATGATTACATACAAACACATAGAAGAGTAATATTTGCTTGCCTGCATGCATATGTGTGTATGCCAGGCCATATACATATATATAAAACTACACGTATTTTGATAAGACTCGCGTGTGTGTGTGCTTATGCTATACAAAGCCGCAATATTTTGTACTACTTACAATCGTGTGGTGCAAATATTGATAAGCATGTATAAAATTAGCCCAACTCCGGTTATCGTTGCTATAAAAAGCCGATCCACGCCAGGGAAGTGCGATACATCAACGCCGTTGAACAACAAAAAGGTTGAGTGCCAACGTCAGGTTCAGTGAATTCAACGCAAACGCAGTGTACAAAGGAAGGCAGGCGTTTTCCAAGCGGTTAAGTCCACACACATATAATACTTGTATAAGAAACAAAATAAGCTCTACTATGTACCACTTTGTACGTATTTGAATAAATATTGAGATTGTTTTGTGCCTTAGTCGATCAATTAAGCCTAATTCTTTCTCTTAATTTAGAACATCAAAATAATTGAACTCTTTTCGTTCGTACTACTACTCTCATTGCAAACGATGACTGCACGGCCGCTCAGTACTTACGACCACAAGTCAGCCACACAGCAGCCATACGATGCTTTGTCAAAGACGAGAGGCAGAGACCCTGTCATGGTCACTGAGTTCCCACATGCCGTCGATGAGCCAATATTACACGAATTGGACGCAGCTTTGATGAAATTGGCCAATGTTTATATGCAGGCGCTTTTCTCCGGCACACACACGGCTGAGTTGGAGGCAGAGTTGGCTGCCTTGGAGCTGCGATTCTACGATTTGTTAGACATGCTTTACAGGGAGGATCGTATGCCAGAATATATGAAATATGAGGCCGAGGTCACGCATCAAATGATTGTCTACAACTTGCTGAAGAGGCTCTTTGGCTACGCAAAGAATGATGAGGCCGCGTAAAAAGCTGATGGAGGTGGCAGAGGCAAGATATGAAGATCGCGTGAGCGCCAGAGCTAGCAGTAAATAATGGGACTCGCAATGATCAGCTTGCAGCTCAGCTGACTTTTCTCAAAATAGTGGGGTTATTGTGTCTGGCAAGAGATCAAATGGTGAATGAAATACTTTGTGCAATAGTGGTTATGAAATTAGAGTTTTAAATGTGTGCTGTGCTTCGAAAGAGAATACATTTAAAGAATGCTCCTGTAACTCTTGCAAAGTCCAAGCAGTGACATTTCTCATAATGCGAGTATTTTGGTATAAATTATTGTTCGAGAATGAAAAAATAGTATGTACTTATTACAGAAACACAAATTGCATACAAATAAAACGCTACTGAATCACCCCTTAATACCCTTAAATAAAAATGCAGATATTTTTTAAATATTTTGAAAATTTATTTCCACTTTTGGTTTATACATCCACTCTTAAAATACAAATCAAGTAATTAATTTTTCTACTTTGCTCAACATTTTTCTTGGCAAATTGATGCTCTCTAAAGAATTCAATTTATTTAAAAAGAATATTTGCATGTCTCTTCAATGGAATAATAAGAATAATCATTTCTCAAATAATTAAAGGAATATATAAGGTTATAAATTTCATAAACGCTCTTCTCTTAAAATATGATCACTTGTAAATCCTAAAAGTATGCTTAATAAAATAAAATAAAAAAACCCAACTTAATCACGAGGCAGCCAACGTCCACTGACATTAATTTCTAACTGTATTTTACTTATACTTTTCAATAATGTGAAATTGGCCGCCTTGTATTGATCCTCAGAGCAAACAAAGAACAAGCGAATTAAAATTAATTAAACTTAAAATATTTTTATTTTTTGGTATTACTTGCTAAGTCAATGAAAACATCAAATTGAAATATCTATCAATATTATATGTACATACACATAAACATACGAGTCGTATGGCAAAATTGAACAACCTTAGACGAGAATATTCAGACTTAAAACATAAATAGTCTCTTCATAATTGAATTCAACACAAAAACAAAAAGTGCTTATGTTAAAGTGATTATGCAAGCATTGGTATATATGTACATGTGAGTAGGCTTACATCTGCTTCTTTCTATTGGCTAAAAGAAGCTTCTGCTTAAAGACTAAAATGCGAGTTTGCAGTGTTCCATTTCCAATAACTACTTTCAACACTAATTCATGTATAAAAGATTCAAAAACAAACGTCAAATATTAAATAGAAAAAGAAAAACCTTAAAACTTAACATTGACACGTGAGTGAACAGAAAACAAAATAGTTGTTGTTGCACTGAAAAATCTCAATAAAAATCGCCACATTCATCTATAATTCGTTAAGTTGATCAGCTATTCATCAAGAATAGTTTACAGCTTTGACGATTGAAACACACAGCACCGCAGCTTTGCCATCTCTGAATCGCACTTTGCGCCAGACAAAGTCGACCAGCTCAGCGCATCACCAGGGGCGCCACATATTATCGCCATCTTCTTTCAGCTCCTGCAATTTGTGCTTTTGCTTAACCAAAGCGGCCTCCGATGACGTCTCATTTCGTTTATTCAAGTCCAAAGCAATTTTTTTGCTGGCTGGTGCCTCGCATGCATCGCTCGAGTCCGCTTCATCGTCTAGCGAGCGTTTCTTTGAGGTGTTCAATTCGACGCCACTGTCGCTGCTGGTGCTAGTGTTGCAACTATTGCCGGCGCTGCCACTGGTGGAGGACACCTGTTGCTGCTGCAAATGCAGTGACAATTTGGCAGTGCTGCTGGGAGCTGACGATAGCGATGCGGCGGAGCTGGTTAGCAGGGATGACTCGGCGCTGGTTGGTGTGGAAAAAACACCGGAGAAGCTGTGCTCCTGCTGATGGTCGCCGGTCACATCTAGCGGTGGAGTGGCTGGTCGAGAGCCGGTGAAGTCGGAGCTGGTGTGCATGAGTGAATCTTCGCCCTGGCTAGACACCGATGAAATGGGACTGAGCGGTGGGCTGTTGGTGGCTGTAGAACTTTGATGATGCAGTTGATGCGCGGGTGCAGCACGTTGTTGCTGTTGCTGCGTTTGTAGTATGCTTCCAGCCAAGTAGCCGGCATTGCTATTTAGCTGAGCGCCATTGACTGGGGCTGCCACATTCACCTGCAGCTGCGTTGGCGCGACTGGCGGTCTGCTGAAAGCGCTTAAACGCTTGTAATTCGCCGCAAAGTCATTGATAGGGATGCCTGTTGCGGGTATGCCCGTGCCACCTGCAGTGCCTGTTGTTGCTATTGCGCTCGTCGCTGGAGTTGTTGCCGTAGTGGCATTTCGGCCGTGCGGAAAGTTGGCAAATGGTGCGGCATTGTTGTTGTTACTCAAAATATTCGCATGCGCTGTTGTCGGCATAATGAGTGCGAATTCGCCGGATGGCAAACGCGATGGTATCAATTGTACGCCACCCATTTGCACCGGTGGCATGGCCGATGCTGCTGCGGTGAGGTTGTTACCGAAACTACCATTACTGCTGTTGTTGTTGTTTAAGTCTTGTGGCATCGGCGGAAAGAGCGCGGCAGGCGCGCCGGCAGCAGCAATTGTTAACGGATTGGCGGCCAAAGCAGCACCAAACAAACTGCTCGAGGCGGAGATGCCCATGCCTAGTTGGCCGCGATAGCCATTATTGAAGTTGCTCATCGAGCCAAGTTGTTCCAAGTTACTGGCGCAGCTGTTGAGGTGATTAGTGAGACGCTGCCGAACCATAACATCAACGCCGTCCAACTGGTTAATATATCGATTGACTTCCTCGGCGCATTCTATGAAGCCGGTCTTGAATTTATGCACCACGGTCGGATCGGTTTGAATGGCCATGTTGAGCTGTTGTCGCTGAACGGATTGCAAGTGCTTTACCGTCATCTCCAGAATGTCGGCCTTCTCCAGTTTGGTGTGGCGAGCGGGCTGTAAAAAGGAAAGTAAGGTTTCATAAGTATTTACATGAAAGTGTTAGTTAACAACAAAGAAAACAGTGCTGCCACTTGTGCTCAAAATATACAAACTCGGGTCTTTAGAAAATTCACGAATAACCGAAAGGCTTTGTCTCAACCTGGGAATATCGATTTCAATGCTTCTGCTTCAAGCTCCACAGATCTTTGCTTTTGACGAAATGCTCAGCTATGCATTCAAGTGTTTCACACATTTCCGTGAATTGAAATATTTTTGATCTTTCGCTTGTTTGCTGTTTTTTTCATACAGCTTCTAATTGATTGCAATTTGTACGAAAAATCCCACAATAAGCTTCAAGCAAAAAAAGCGAAACCGCAGAGCATTACGCCGAAAACACAGTGTGGACAGAATCGGAAGGTGAAAGCGTAAAAGAGGTTCAGTAAGCAACAAATATACACATCTATACTCATATGTACAACATATGACTAAACTGACCACGAAACTGCTTATTTAGGTTCGAGTTAACAGAATCCCTTGAAAATATCAGTATACTATTTGTTTTTCTATTTGGCTGCCAGAAGAAACATTGATCGCTGATGATCGGCACACGATCGTGACGGACAACATAAAAATGAGAAAAAATAGCGAGCTGCCGGGATGTCGGGAGGCTGGAATGCAAGCGAAGCTGGAGCAAACGCGAACGGGTGCGCTGTCAGGCGATGTGTGAAGCTACTTGTAGTCGATGGCAGATCAGCCAAACACCTAGGCATATAATATGTATGTATGCACGTGGAAGATCACTTATGGACAGCCAGAGTGCTTTTGTAATCTCGTTGCAACCGTCTGCAGCCGATGTTCAAGCCAAAAGCCACAAGATGGCAAAGTGCAATTGTTCTGTGGTTTGTTGTCTTTTCTCATTCGCCTTGCTTTTATTATGCTGATGATCTGCGCTCGAGTGCAGCGGCTCTTCATAAAGCGCTGATCAATGCACTTGCATACACACACACAAGCATATGTAGCGTCCTCATCGTTTTTCGCATATTTGCTTTTTTTTGTCTCACCGCTGAATTTTGCTGATTCACAACTGCTCCACACGTTTCTTTGTTTGTGTGTACTCATATGTGTGTGTGTGTGTGTGCTGACCAAGTTTCCCACGCAACACGTTTACCTTCGATTTGGTTTTTTTGTTGCCATCGTTAAGAGTGTTGTTGCTTATATTGTTTACTTTTGCTACTCCTTCTTCTGACGTCTGAAAGCGAGCGCCGATCTGCCTTACGATCAGCAACTAAATTCAAGTTCGCTCTCAACCAAAGCGACGATTCTTGATAATGAAGACCACATAATCATTATTATGGTTCTTCTGTTGTTGGCGTTTTTTCTCACACTTAGCATTCGAAACTAATACACACACATAAACATGGAAGTTTTGCAGAACAGCAGGATAATTTTATTTTTCGTTTGGTTTTTCAATATTTGTTCGTGTCTTATAAACACATGCAAGTAGTGCTTGTTGGAACATTTTTTCTTGGATTATCCATTTTATTCACCGTCACATTGGCTCGAAACAGGTTCCCACTCAGTGGCCTCGCAATTTTCTCATATTGCCCTTTAGCCTGAAACAAGTGATTCTATCATCGTCAGTCGTTCGCTTTTATCAACGCCGCCAGTGCTGCCGTCGGCTTGTTCAACACACTCAAAGGACATGCGTTTTTTGCTGATCCATTCTTATCCAACTACACGCTTTCTTCGATACGGTGTCTTTAAAAGAATTTTACACTCAATTTAATTGTTTATAACAACAAGGGAATATAATTTCCAACAACAAAACCACAAGGTGTATTGGCGTGGCGCACCGCAGGACACTCCAGCAACAGCGAGTCACTTGATCTTGCCATGATTTGTTGTTGTTGTTGTACTTTTTAATTGATTTCGTTGAAATTTGACGCCACTCAGTAATTGATTGAAGCAGTTTAATGACATTCTCTCCGCCACGAATTAAGTAACTTTTTTAGAAATTTTAATGCAAAAGTTGAGAAGCGAAAGCCTTTAGCCATACTTGCTTGCTGCACAGATAGCTACATAAATATGCTTATAGGTGGAGATTTGCATAAAAAGTGGAAATACTTATCAGCGAGTTTACTTGTCCTATTGAACTTAGCAATTTATAATATACGAGTACTTAATGATTTCCGTTGATCTTCACTGATCTTTGGGAAATGCGATTGCTCATTGCGATTACGCTCGAAAGTCTACAAAGTAGATTAAACATGTTTTATACATTTTAAGCGGTTACACCTAAAAGAGGGTGTGTGCGAAGTGATATAAAGCGAGTTCTCGAAACTTCGTTAACTATACTAATTCTACAAGGCACTATTTTCCAAAAAGTTTTAGTGTTTTTAAGTAGTATATAGTTTCAAGAACTTACGTCTTTCTTCATTGCTTCCAGAATTAGTGATTTCAGCTCGTTCAGGCAGTGATTTATGCGCGCTCGCCGTCGCTTTTCCATAATTGGCTTGTTCGTCTGCAAAAAAGAAATAAATAAAAAGTGAGCAGCATGTCTATTCTTTGAGACAGAAAGTGTACATGGTAAATGGCAATGTATGTATGGTAATTTATTAACATTGCGGAGGTGCAGAGAATAGTCTTGGTTCATGGGTGCAGTTTAGACTCTTCGTGAATCTAATGGCAATATAGATGACATACCCATTCGATCTTTTGACTTTTCCTTTTATTGGTGCCAAATTTCCCGGTTTTGAGAAGGATTTTATGTGTGACAGAAATAGGTTAGAGCTTTGACATAGCCTCCCGAAGGCGGTCAGCCGCTTTCAGGAGATAAATTTAATATGTTTTTAGAAACACCAATTGAAACAGCGCCACACGTTTTTGAATGAATAATAATAAAAGCTTTTTAAGTAAAAAATTAAAGTTCCGAGATATTATTTACTGAATCAAATGAAAAAGCAAAATTTTGAAATTTTTCGGAACAAGGTTCCAAATTGTTTCAAAAGTAAAATGTTTGCTCCAAAACTAAGTGTATCTAATTTTACTGCATTTTGTCTCCAAAGCGTTGAGAAATTATCCGTTTTCCGTTATGTATTGGTTCACTAATGATGCTTAATATCATTTCTTATTATTTTAATTTATGTACCTTTCTCAGCTCGGCTTTCGAAAGTCCATGCGGATTGGACATTTGACCCTGTCCGTTGCCGTTTGTACCGTTATAGCTATCGCTATAACCGTTAGAGCAATCGAAATCATCGTCCGAATGAAAATCGTTTTTGTAATCCATTTTTGTAGTTCCAATAATTGCAAGTTGTTGTTTATCCAAATATTTAACGCTTTTGTAATCGAAAACCACTTTGAACAGCAACAAAAATGTTTGATATTTTTAGCTTAGTCAGTGAAATAATCGCACACAGAAGTATAAAATGATTAAATTAAATATCCTTAAACACAACACTTAACAGAAAACTTTGGTCTACACAAGCGACTTAAGCGCAGTGTTTTTTGTTTTGCTTTTTATTGCACAAAATTTCTCAAAACATTTCTTAAATCAATTAGTAGTGCTTTAGCATTTTATTTATTTTTTTTTTGGTGATTTCTTTCTGATTCGCAACACTTATCGAATTTTGCAATTCGTAAACAAGTCTCTTAGTTCGAAATATTCGCTAACATGCTTTAGCAGTTCTTTTGCATCGCGCACAACACACGACCACGCGCGTTCAACTCCAGCAGGATACTGATCAACAGGATAGCGCACACTCAGAACGATCCTTATGTTTGGCAGAACCGTGCTTACGAATGCGCTGCCAATAGACGAGGATCGTCACAGCGTCGATGACGAGCATGCGCACGAAGTCACCAAGCCAGGCAGCGACTGCACACACGACTTGCACACGAATAAACGACGGCTCCTTTACGTATTTTCTCACGCTCAGCAAAACCGGCTGCTTTTGCACTTTTATTACCTGAGTCTGAGTCTGAGTTCTCTGCCAGCGCACCAGTGAGTTATGGTGTGCCGTTTGTTGGCGTGTTGGTGGTGGTGTGCGTCGTCGTGAGACTCGGCAACAGCTAGACGTTCAGCCAGCCAACAAGACTGTTCACCAAAGCGCACAGGTAAGGCGGCGCTGTTGTCTACTTTTCAGTTTGTTGCTGCCGCTATTGGATGTTTGTAAGTGTCTTCTGCGCTGGGAGGCGCTCGCAAAAATTGATGAGTATGTGGTAGCCGCGTCTGCGAAACTGCGCTTACGGCAACTGTGGCGGTGAACTAAAGTCGAGTGTGTGAATTGTGTTGAAATGTATCGACGCTGTGGCAGCGACGGACGCGACATTCCACCGCGCGTTGTGCGAAGGGGGCGAAATTCCTCTGCATGGTCACTTTCCGGTAATCGTGTGGATGTGGGTGTATGTGTGTGTATACGAATATTACCCCTATTGTCATCTTTTTTATCGCAACATCAACGGGGTTACATACACAGAAACAGTTGTATTATATTAGCCTTTCCATTTATTTAAATGACGGATATGAGTACTGAAATTGATACAGTCCAACGAAAGAGAAATCACTCAACTCAACTGCAGAGATTTTCATTTATTCATATATGTTTTATATACCATTTGGACATATATATATATCAATTATACGAATTGGGTATGTAAAGCCCCCGCTTAAGTGTAAAACTGTGATTTATTTTACTGAAAAAACACCATGTACTAATTCAAAATATTTCAGCGGATGTAGTGGCATGTGAAGAACTGATATGTTCATGCATATGTATATACATACGTACATACATATATATGCAAAGCAAAAGAGTTATCCGAATTTATTCTGAGTTATACGATACATACGCCTTAACCTTAAAAAAAAAATCGACACTAATTTCAGTATTGAACTTTTCTCAACTTTCACTCAAAGAAATTACAATATCATTTAATTTCTATTTATTGAAAATGTCTACTTTTGTCCAAAAAGGTGCTATGGCTTCGCTCATAATTGGTGAATTATTAAATTGCAGATTTCCATTATATGCACAAAGCGATTCGGTGCGCTTGCAGCTTCCCGACTCCCATCACCACTCGTGTGAAGAATACAATGCACACACACCTAAGCAGAGTTCTTCGATTGGGGTGTCGGGTAGGTAAGAAAACTTTCTTTTGCTCTCATAATGCAAATGCACATACACACGCACTTAAGTCCATGCATGTGACGTGCCTCAATATCGACAGCTGCACTTCAAGACATATCATAACTTGGGCTGTACGCAGCATCGGCGACTTAAGGAGGCAGGGTAGGTTGATCGGTCGGTCGAACGGTTGGATGATTGGTACATCGATATGGGGGTTGGGTTTTTGTGTGAGGCGCACATACTAAGATTAAGATTTCGGCACAAAAGAAGCAATGAAAAAGCAGAAGTCATTAAGGACGTTGGGATGAAGTTGACGGTGGGTTGCAGGCGAGCAACAGCTGTCGCAGCAATAATTAAAATTGGGCGTGGGAAAGTGTGAAATGCTTGCGGCTCAGACAGCGCAAGATATTCATATACATATATATTTATGTGTGTTTGCGACTGATTCATTTAGTTTTGTTTGTTTTCAAGTCCCATACAATTTGCACGAGTCAGACGCGTTGCTACTTTTATGGATATTCACTAGACGTCTGCGCACAAGTCAAATTGTAGTTTCGGAAATTTGACAGCTGCAACATTGGCAAACGAGTGGTCGGAAGTTCAATATTATTTCAAACAATATCAATAAAAAACAATAAATTTAAAGATCGTTGGACTCTTTATAATGGGTGCGAAACTGTGGTAAACGGAATTGGATTTATGGAAGTTGAAAGGTTTTTTGCTTTCTAATCACGGCTTTATAACTATGGTATATTAATATTATGTCTCAGAAGTTGACTACTGCAGATAATTTCGGACAAGCAGATAGAAGAGTACAGATATACACATATATTCTCTAACATTATATAGGGTTGTCTAAAGTGGAGCCGAATTGAAATCTGAAAGACTCGGATATCACTCTAACTTTTAGGGCTTTTCTAATTACCGATGTAGCACCATAAGCTCTATAATTTCATCTTCAATTACAATTTGTATGTTTCTGCGTCGATATGCATTCTATTCTAGATACATACGTCTATATATCTACGCAATTATTGGCACCATATTTTGCAATTCTCATTTACGAATGTTAAACGCACGATTTACACATTAAAATACAAAGAAAATACATTCGCATACAATGTATGTATGTGTGTTATACTTCGAAGACGCCAGAAAATATTAATCTGGTGTTCGCTTACACGTTTTTGTTTCACCTTCTTTTGGAAAAGTGTGAGAATGCATAAAATGAGCGCAACGAACGAAATCAATAAGCCCTGCATTAAGAAGCAGCATGTTTATTACTGTTCATCTTATTTCCCTGTGATCGACAACCTTAACCTCAAAACGTAGACGCGGCTGCCAGATGACCAGCCGGCACATCGGCTCACCGGTAGCCCTTGCACAAATTGTGGGCCATGTAAGAGCTGTGGGCACGTTTCGTACGTGAAGTTTTTGGCTGTGCGTCCATGCGCCGCCTAGTTGGCACAGACGTTCGCCACCTCTCGTGCTGTTACAAATCCAGTATGCGCATATGCATGCCTGTGTGTAAACATACTACACCGCAGCAGATCGTTAATCCATGAATTGAGTTGTTGTAGCTGCGGTTTTTACTTCCCGTTCATTTTTGGCTACTGCATTAAAGCGTAAAGAGTGTGAAGCATTTCAGGAGTAAGGCAAATCTCTACGGGATCTACCTATGGGAACTTTTTTTGGGTTACATATGGGAAACAGTGCCCCAAATATGCTAACTGCTTAAAAAATCTATATATTGTATATATATATATGTATGTATCGATAGCAAATGTGTCCCTTTTGTGGGCGTAGGAAATGCCTTGCGAATTAGCATGCTTCTCTCAAAGTTAATTGGAAGCTTTTTAGCATATTGACAACCGCATTTTCATTGCAACGTGAGAGAAGAATGAGCTATGTGTTTTAATAACGAATTTTTACTTAAAATTTATAAATAGAATAGTTTTTTAATATGTATAATTTACTTGACTTCGTGTTAGGATCGTGCATGTTATTTCAAACGCCATCAGTAGTAGTGTGATTCTCATGAAACAGAGTCGTGAGAAGTTTCTAACATCTGTTTCGCTTTAGTCAAAAAAGGATCGGCTAGAAGGCAGAACAGAATTGAGCAATTAATTGACATTAACAACTGACTCACCTCAATAACGTCATATTAAAATAAAAAATATGAGCACATAACGCTCACATGTGTAAGTGTGTGGGCAAACCCGCCCCACACCCAACTTTCCTTTGCTAACCTAGGCGGTGAGTCCTCACAGCTGAAAGCGTTCTCACCTCAGTCTCGTCAAAACAAATTCCCATGCATGTCACGTTGCAAAGCCACCCCACTCGCGCTGACACTCACACAGTCGCACGCACGTATGCACCTACTCCCCTATCGGTTCGAGGGTTGTCCACATTCCGTCATACACTGCTTTCGTTGTCTGTCTAATTTCAATATTTTAATTTCTGAAGCAACAAAAACAAACACACAACACTTGTCCTCTCATATTGTGGTCGCGCCCTCCACTTTTAGTTGTTGTACAACGTCATACTTGTATGTGCGTGTTTGTGGACTGCGCCTGCATGCCGATGCAACAACACACCCTTGTAATTTCTTTACTTACGGACTGTTTTGCTTCCTTTACTTCCTTATATGTTTCCGTTGCTTCCTGCGGCCTGCGGCCTCCTTTATTTTATTATAAAATACATATCGTGTTTGTTTTTGTTTTCGCTTTTTAGCGTTTAGTTGGTGTGCGGACGACGGCTTCCCCCTTTTGCACGTGGACTTCGCTGTAAGCCCTTGCATGGAAGTTTACACGGCACATCTGTGCGCTCTGCCCTGCGTTGAGCTGAATTGCACTGCCTGGTGGCCCTCAGGTGAGCGTGAGAATAAGTTTTTTGTGGGAAACTTTACATTTTTGTAAATGCATTTAACACATTCAACATTTGTGCGCATTCATGACTGTACAGTTGTTGTTTTTGAAATATATATTCGACCTTTTGATTTCGGCTTCTAGTTTCAATTGAACTCATTGTCGTTGGACAAGAATGTACAGTTTGTGCTGGAAGCGGGTTTTCTAGGCTTTTATTCGAAAATGAAATAAATATTTACATAATAGAAATTAAAAACTGCGTGTGGCATAACTTTTAATATTTTTCTTCGCACAAAAAATACAATACAGTAAAAAGATTATAGCTAATCCCACAGATTATAACCAAATCTCAACACTTTTTATATCCAAACGGATTGTAAAAGTAAAGTAGGAACCCCATTTGTTTAACCCAAACGACGAGAAAATTCCACGCTCCAATTAAATCTTGTTTTAAACACTTTTTAATTTGTTAAACTCCCTAATACGCGTTTGTAACACATTTGGCATGGCACATCTGCTTTGGTACGCGACAGACCAAACGATTCAAAAGATTTAAGCAACAAACCAGCGAACAAACAACAATCTACTCGACATCTAATTAACCACACAAAGCAAAGCATTTAATACCTCTGGCTCAACTCTTTCCCAATAGGAACATTACACAACATTACATAAACATCACACGCACACCGCTTCGAACGCCGTCTTCATGCCTTGTCCATTCCGTCTTGGAGCCAGCGGCAGCTCAAACAAACGCTGAGCAATGGAATAAAGACCCATTACGGTTACTTTTGGTGTAACCGTCACTTTCTTGATGATAAAGTCAATCTGACTGCAGCTGCTTTATGGCATGCGCGCGCGCGCCTTTGTTTATGTTTTGGATTTTCTTTTACATTCGCTTTACATCACGTTTGTACGTCTTGGCGCATGCCACTCGCCGCCTGCAATCAGCTGGCCGCGTTATTGATTTTTCTAATTTTCGACAATGATTTTACAATGGTGGCTGGATTTTCAATTGGGTCCAAAGACAGCCGGGCATATGCGCCTATAGTACACAATATCAAATAAAAATATATCGCTGCACATACATACATTCGCACATGTAGCTGCACATCTAACGGACATTTCTATTTATTAACATGCTTGTGTGTTTAAATGTTACCATTGCGCAATTCGCTGTGGCCTTGCCGGCCGACACACTCCATGTTGTCACCTTTTTTGTTATCCTTTAATAACCATTAGTTAGCATTGTGCTCATTTCTAGCTCGGATTTTTCTTTTAACCCAATTTTCAATCCAGAACTTTAGTGGACCCAAGTACATGTAATACTGATGTTATTATTAAAGCCTTCAATTGGTTATTCAAAATTGATGATTCCCACAAAAGCTCTTCGGCGCATAGAACCAGTTATATACACAAATATGTACCTGTATTGACATTTAGATGTCATTAAAACGAAAGTCTGGCGACTGGGAATACCTTCACAAGAAAAAAAAGTACAACTGGGGGAACTATATAAGTTGGTCTAGTAAAATCTACATGCATTCAACCACCTTACTAATTATATGTATATATGCACGTTTATGCTGTTTTGTGTGCCCAGCAAATAATTTGTGTAAAACTTCACCGAAACGGTCGCCAAATTTTTTACTCACGCAATTTATTTAAATCTAACGCAAGAAATATTTGCTGTGTTGTTTGAAAAATTCTTTGATGGTGTTAGCGTGATTGGATCTTCCCACATATTACTCGTTTTGTAAGTTCACTGGAAGGAAATGAGCTTTCCCGAGTAACGGAAACGGATCGCAGTATTTAAAGGAAGACAGCCGGTTCGTAATCTGTTGAAATTTGTGAAAAAATATAAATTTGATTTATACAAATATGGGCGTGCAAAATTGCTGGTGCCTGTTCAAAAAATCAAAAATAATAGAAGTGTATGTATGTATAGTAGTGTACCGTATTTGTGTGTAAATGTTAATTTAATTTCTTTAATCGAATATCTTGTTTGGCGCGATAGTTGGCATCGGAGAAAGTCAATAGAAAGAAGATTTAAAGATGAGAGCAGAAAGAGAATACATGTTGAATGGTGAGTTTATACGATTGTTTATAATAATTAAAATGAAATCATGTTTGTATGTTTTTACAATAATTAATTTTCAAATTAAATTTGAATTACAAATTTAGTAGAAGCTGTATGTGATCATCTACGTGTATTCGTGAGAGTTTAAGTGAGTGTAGAACGTTTGTGAAAGAAAAAGAAACATATTTATAAACAGGATCGGAGTAATACTTCCGACTTGCAGTACATCTGATATTCATACGAGTATGTATACGATTTCAGCAACAATGAATTGTTTTAAAAATAGGACACAACGCCACAAGAACTTCGTGAATGTATACATGCAAGCAGCAATTTAAACGGGAGAGTACACTTTTCCGAGTTTCTCTTTTGTTTCACTTTTATTATGGCGCAAAATAATATATCATTGCCACATCAAAGATGAATGAATATTCAAATACATAATTGTATTCGATATTTTATTGGCATGATGATAGCATTTCAATACACTATGATGTTTGAATTTTAAATTTATTGAATATTCGAATATTTTCATGTCACTTATTGCGTGTTTGAATTTCAAAGACATTGATAATATAGACTGAGACATCTAAATAGTGATATGCTTCAGTTTATAATCCGATATTTGTAAAACTTAAAACTATAATTTTGTGTATTCTTACGTATTGAACCATTATTAATATTAAACGTAAACTATTTGGCTCATGTCTGGCAATTCTGCAGCTGTCATTTCTGGAAAATGCACACATGTATTAAGCAATTGCACTGCGACGTTGACGTAAGCTTCGTTGAGCGCAGTGAGAACAGCAGCAGCCGAGGGTTCACTGGAGTGAGAGCGGCCAACGACTTGCTTTCGTGCCTGCTTTCGCATGTGTGTCACGTATTCATGACTGGAATTTAGCCGACCGCTTTGTCTCTGTCTGACAAATAAGTAGTCGCTGCAGGTCGTGTAGTTTGGCTGGAGTCATTTCAGTGCGCGTTCGAATTTTGTTGACACAAATTGACATACAAAAGTGAGATATACGAAAAAGGCACAAGCGAATTGTAAAAAAAAACTCATAAAACATAAAGGAAGAAAAATAGGTGTGACAGCGCGTTGTGAATAAAATACATAATAATTGAATAAAATTGTGCAAAACTTATATTAAATTGTGTAGTAGGAACGCGTTGAAATAGTTATAACGCGTGAAAAAATCGAAGCATGCAAAGTCCGAGAACGAATGCAGTCAATGGAGCAATACAGTCGCTGCCCAGTACATTGGCTCAACTCGCGCTAAGGGATAAACAGCCTCCGCAGTTGCCACAGACACAGCCACCAAGCGTGCCCAACAAGAGTCATCTGGTCGAAGGTACCTCGGCCACTAATGGTGGTGGAGGCGTAGTAGGTAGCAATGTAGCTGGCAGCGGCGCTGCCGATTCGAACAAAGTGTCCACCGAGCTGCAGGAGAAGGAAAACCAAAATCAACTACAGAAGCAGAAACCGCCACTGCCTGTGCGCAACAAACCAATGGAAATAGCGGGTTATGTCGGCTTCGCCAATCTGCCAAATCAAGTGTACCGTAAAGCGGTGAAACGTGGATTCGAGTTTACATTGATGGTTGTGGGTGCTAGTGGATTAGGAAAATCAACACTTATCAATTCCATGTTCTTAGCTGATATATATAATGCGGAACAATATCCTGGTCCATCACTACGTCGCAAGAAGACTGTTGCCGTAGAAGCTACAAAGGTTCTTCTAAAAGAGAATGGTGTAAATTTAACGCTTACTGTAGTTGACACACCTGGCTTTGGTGACGCTGTCGATAACACAAATTGTTGGGTTCCCATACTTGAATATGTCGACAACAAATATGAGGAATACCTGACTGCTGAGTCACGCGTTTATCGCAAACAGATTCCAGATAACAGAGTACATTGTTGTTTGTATTTCATTGCGCCATCCGGACATGGTTTGCGCCCATTAGACATCGCTTGCATGCAGAGTCTCTCCGACAAAGTGAATCTCGTGCCCATTATATCCAAAGCGGACACAATGACACCAGACGAGGTGCATCTATTCAAGAAACAGATTCTCAATGAAATTGCACAGCACAAAATTAAAATATATGACTTCCCTTCCACTATCGAAGATGCAGCTGAGGAAGGAAAAACTGCACAGAATTTGCGCGTACGCGTTCCATTTGCTGTTGTAGGTGCCAACTCCATAATTGAAATGGATGGTAAGAAAATACGTGGCCGCCGGTATCCTTGGGGTTTAGTTGAAGTAGAAAATCTAGCTCATTGTGACTTTATCGCGCTACGCAACATGGTTATACGCACACATTTACAGGATTTGAAAGATGTTACCAACAATGTGCACTACGAAAATTATCGTTGCCGGAAATTATCCGAGCTTGGTCTAGTCGATGGCAAAGCACGTTTATCAAATAAAAACCCCTTGACACAAATGGAAGAAGAAAAACGCGAACATGAGCTAAAAATGAAGAAGATGGAAGCCGAAATGGAACAAGTGTTCGATATGAAAGTGAAGGAGAAAATGCAGAAATTGAAGGATTCTGAGCTTGAGTTAGCGCGACGTCACGAGGAACGTAAAAAGGCGCTGGAATTGCAAGTGCGAGAGCTTGAGGAGAAGAGGCGCGAATTCGAACGAGAAAAGAAGGAGTGGGAGGAAGCTAATCATATCACACTTGAGGAATTGAAGCGACGCAGTCTTGGAGCTAATAGTAGTAGCGACAATGTTGATGGCAAAAAGGAGAAGAAAAAGAAGGGACTGTTCTAAATGTTAAAGCACTAATCCTAGAAACAGTATTCGAGTAACTAAAAACACACACAAAAAGAGAAGTTAATGAAAAAATCAAAGTAAAAGCAAAGCGCAGAAAGACCAGCTGATGCGGGCGGTCGAGAAGGTAATAACGATGACGATGATGATTATAAGTATGTAGACGATGATGATGATTATTATGACGAATTGTGTTAAGTAATAAAATACCTAAAATTGTATTTAAAATACTACTTTACAAAGCAAGCAACCGAAGCAAACACACACCTCTTAAAACGATTCCCCAACCCCTCAGCTAATACACGAGTATCGTTCATACTCCTTGCATTAATTATAACATTATTACCTACTATACATACCTACATAAATATAATAAAATATATATAATAAAGTCTTCTTTAGTTTAAAATTTATAGTGATTTTATTACATATTAACCCTCACATAGACATTGCTCCTTTATTTTCATAATTTTATTTATAGTACTGATGTATATTATTACCACCGCGTGTGAATGTGCGCGGTTCCTTCTAGTTCTGTATGATAATTGATGCTCGTCCGCCGCTACAGCTGATAAATTCGTTTATTGAACGGTAGTCATAATTGATATGGAACACATGACGCATACACGGTGGATGGCTCTTCTGTATATTTTCAACACATTAGCGAAGTGACGCGAGAATCTATGTATGTATGTATATGCATAGATACGTATATAAATACATTGTCTGTTTTGTGCGGTTGAGAGTGGGGGTAGACATTGTATCAACCAAAATTTGTTTTGATAATTAACACAGGCTTGTCGCTGACCATCTAGAGTTTAATCAGAGAATGTTAATAATTCTCTGGTTTAATGCAGATGTTAGTAGAAGTGCTCCACTCGCGTGCCACAAACTGACTTTTTTGTATTTGAGCAGCGGGCAATTAATATTTGATTGAAAGGCCGAATGTGGATACAATAGGAATTAACTGGTGGTCCACAAATTAATTTTGTCGAAACGAAGCATATTTGGTAGTGTTTATATTTTAAATATACTCGTACTGTGTAAGAACAATGTATCCATAAATGTAGGTACATATGTATGCATATTTGTGTATTGGTTAGTATTGGTTACTGATTAGTATTTCTCAATCGGACTTGGAAATTCCGTTAATTCACACTATATACATATATATATATATTTTTTTTTTTTTAGTAAAACGAGTGTTTCATACATAGAAAGTAGCTAGTAAAATTGTGAATTAAAAAGTTTGTGCAAAGCATATAAAAGTATTTAATAAATTAATAATGTTCCGAAGGCATTTTGGCACTCGCAGTAATTTTAAAATCTATTGAGTTCAACACTTGAATAAAAGTTAATAAAATCAGTACGCGGCAATTAAATCTTTATACAAAAAGTCATTAAACCATTATATATGCATATGTATGCACATATATGTGTATATGTACCAGTATTTAAAGAAAGCACATAATGTATGTATTCATGCATGCGCGCATATGGAGTGACATATGAACATATGTGGACAGGCCGTGTCAGTGGTGTTGTTGACGCTGTCTCCCGTCCAATTCCAGCACAGCGCATTCCATATAAAGAAGTTACTTAGAAATTACTTAGCGCTTTCGTTAAGCATTTTGCGCCGAAGCAATGTGCCGCTGATCAATGAACGTTGTACGCTTATGTATATACATATATACATACATACATACATACATATATTTAAAACGAGTGGTCAGTCGAGAGTTTCGAAAGAAGTGACCGTTAAGTGGGCAAATCAACGAAGGGGTAAAGAGGTCGGTAGACCCCCAAATACATACCGCCGAATGAACGGTTGATTGGGTGGCGGGGATTTATTAATAAATGTGAACACACATACTATAATTCGGTAGCTAATGGCTGTATACATACATATATGTACATACATACATATATACAAGCATAAGTAAAAATATGAATCTTAGCTTAGCATGACTCAAACTTACATATACTTACCTCCGCACAAATGTATGTATGCGGGCGCATTCGTGAAAAAACTGAACGATTAATATACACTTTCATTAGCACGAAAACAAAGCAAAAGCAAATTCATTCGCTAAGTTCGCGTTGAAGTCAGAGACCCCCATGAGCATCACATATGTACATATGTATGGCTTTGTAAAATAAACTCAATGATGGCTGAGTCAAAAATATGAACAATAAAAGTCTTTTCCAACTCAGTAAATTAAAAAAAAATCTAAAATTTTGAAATTATTTTAGTAATATCATACTATAGTGCATTTGCAAACCCGACTGCGGTTTCGGCAACTTTTCCTGGTGAGTCTGTCGCGGCATTATTTTAGCGAAAAGTTTAAAAATATAAACAATTGGCTGCTATGCCCCTATCGAATCGAATCGAGGTTTCTTAACCGTTCTGCCTGCTTGCCTTTCTGGCATTATTTGGAAATGCATGCAGTAGACGTTCCGCTCATTCACCGCTCCCCCTCCAAATCCACGCCGGCATGGTCACTTGCGCCATGTTGCAATCGCTAACGTCGCTCACTCAAAGCCAAACGCTTGTAAATGCATTTCAAAAACGTTCTTACTTTATTGGCATATTATGGTTTTGTTTTGTTTTTGTTGCAATGCCCCATCGAGCAACCGTTGATAAGCTATAGGGGGAAACGTATAAACAAAATCAAAAAAGAAAACCAAACACTATAAAATAAATATAGCAATAGCAACAGCGTATCGGAAATTATTGGGTCGCGAACGCCAAGGCATGCACGCCTAAAATCATGCACTCACACATACACGCACATGCATGTGTTAATGTGCATATTCGTATATTTCATTGCATATACATATGTATGTATGTAAAAAGTGCTTGGTACCTACAAACACACATACATAAGTATATATATGTGTATAGAAATTCTTGAGGAAATGCTTTTATCAATCTAAACATTCCAAATGGTGGCATTATATAATATATAAACGGCATTATGCTCCGTTTTCGGTTTCATTCTATTTCATATAAACGACTCATGTACATAAGTATGTATGTGTATATTCTCTAGAAGCAATTAAATAATTTTTTGATATATCGATCTAAATATTTATATATTTTCTATTAGCCAATACTGTATTCAATATATTGTCTACTAATTAATAAAATTTGAATATAAAAATATATTTTCTTTGACTGGCAACGCTTTATAAAAGCGCAATGTCTTGAGCGCTTGGAAATGATTTGGGATATGCCAAATTGCCCACTCTTCCCTTGCATATACATATGTATGTACATATGTGTATATCTCTTTTTTAAGTTCTCGTACAGTAAATGGTTTCTTTATCTGATGACTAATGGCCCGGTAAGAAAAATTGATACAAATTGACTTACCCCTCATAAGAAGATAATATTCGGCAATCATACTGTATTTATAATAATAATAATAATAATAATAATAATAATAATAATAATAATAATAATAATAATAATAATAATAATAATATGTGGTTGTTAAAAGAGGTTGCCTACATATGTAACTAAAAGAGAGGATGATTTATGAACCTCTGTTAGTTGTCCGAGCTTCTGGTCACATTTTTGTTGTGATCCGTATGATAAAGTTACGAACTGACTTGGCTCCTTTTTTCTAATTTACCGAGCTACTTAGATACTCGTAAGTATGTATTTTTGAATATTTCTCAGTAATTGCGTTTGCTTACCTTGGCTCTCTGCATAATCGGAGGTCTGGACTGCCACTTCCTCACAAAGGCCTTTTTAACAATTAAATGACACTAACAACTAATCACACAGCTGGAGGAGTTGCCCAACGATTCGAAACCACAGTAAAAAGATAATTGCTCGCCAGCAGCTTTGTCAAGGTTTATTGTAAGAATTTTTGAAAGCAAATTCTTTTCTGCAGGCCAAAAGCGTTACAAGCAAAGTGACCTACTTATTTATGTCTGTACTAAGTGACTGCTAGACGATTTTTGGTATTACTCGCTCACTTGATATCCGTAATCCTTATTTGTATGTCATATGTACGAGTATGTATGTTTGTGGGCACATGCGAAATTCAATTTTTGACAGCTTTTGTTCTTTCAGTGCGTGAGAATGTGTGCGTATGAGAAATCTGTTTTCAGGGCCACTTTTTGCCGAAGCTTTTAACGCCTTTGATTTTGACACTTTATCCATTCAACGGCATACATAAGTATGTACATACATGCAATTTGTGGCTGTCATTGAGTTCGACCGCAAAACGTTTAGCTGCAAAGTGTCCATTTATTGCGGACACAATCACAGCCCTTTACATCGATGAGTTGAAAGAGATCGAAGACATGGCGAATTACATAAGCGCCCAGAAGCTCAAATCACTACTACGTATACAATTCAGATGTATGTGTGCCTACTATTTTCGGCTCTTAATTCGTATTATTCTCATCGTTCGTGTGATCCCTTCGGGCAATGGTCAGCAACAACTGTTCTTCTGACAAGTGGATAGCAGCGACGCTGTGCAATTTGAAGTGCCAATTTAATAATAACAGTTGCTTAATGAATTGTAATTTTAATGTTCACTTTACGTAGGGACTCAGACGGCATGCTGAGATTGCTCATTTCGAATGTCCGGCTGAGGATGCGCAGGGATAAGACTTCAGACCTTGCACAGTCAAGCTCTAATGCCTGTTCTGATTCTCAATGAAATTTTTAGCTAAATATCTTTTCACTTAAAAATTATTACTATACATCTTTCTATTTTCCCAACGCAATGCTGCCAATTAACCTATAAAATAAATACTTTCCTTATTGTCTTGACCGTTTTGTTCAAAATTCTTATTTCCTTTAGTTAATTTAAATAATTTATGTCCCCTCCTAATTGGCGCTTTGTTCTCAACTCTCATAAGAACCTTCCTGTCATGTTTATTTTCAAAATAAATATTTAAATAGCAATAGATAGGATCCCCCAAAGCAAACGTTTGGCTGCGCACCTAATCACCCCACATTATAGTCTCATTTCCGCCGTCGAGCTGCTTTAAAGACAATGTTCATGACATGTGTGAATGTGTGAGTGCTGACTTGTTGATCCTAGCGATGCGTGAGTCACAAAAATATCAAAAATAGGAAAACAGATCCTAGGGCTAAGGTATGGACATAGCTATACGAATATATATCATAGATGTGTAAACTGCCTTTGTATGTGTTTGAATATGTATATAAGTATGTTTGAAGCATGTATACATGTCCTTGGTGACAGTTAAAGTCACCGCTAATTATCTTTGACTCTTGGCTTTGCTCATTGAACTCCAAAAGTGTCGATGGAGTGGCGAAAACAGAGAATTCTCACACATTGTCGTCGGTGAAATAGTGGGCACAGTTGAGCGAGCTTAAGTGAATCGTAAAATTTTAAAATAAAT